CCTGAAAGTGTGAACATTAGTAACAACCCTACAAAAGGAAGCGTCAGGCGATGCGCGAAGGTTGTGACTGGCGGACGCGACGGTGGCAATTCTCACGTGTAAAAACTGTCCTTTGTCTTCACTCTACGGTCGTCGTCCGCAAGGCTGTTTGGTAAAATCTGACCCCGTCTTCAATTATCATCTACCTACTTATTATATAAAAACCTATTCCTTTAATGAGCCAATATAACTTTAAGGTGACACTAAAAAAGAAAATCACTAAGATATAAGACATATCTATACCTACAATCTGTAAATCTAGGCAATACACGGAAAAGCATCATATAATGCACTTCTGTACTTTCTAAAAACTATTTGCACCGACAATTAAGTATTGTATTCAACCCTTTTTTAACGTCCCACTGCTGGGCACGGGCCTCCCTTCAATACGAGGGGGATCAGGCCATAGTCCACCACGCTGGTCAAATACGGGTTGGCGGACTTCACATGTCTTTCAAAAACTTACTAGGTTCTCTCAGACGTGCAGGTTTCCTCACAATGTTTTCCTTCACCATAAGGCAAGTGGTATTAGAAATAATTCGCACATGAAATATCAGAGGTACGAGACCCGGGATTTGAAGCCGCTTCATTCGGTTTCCCAAGCGAACGTGTTACCACTGGGCTATCACTGCCATTTTTAATGATTTTTTTTAAAGAATATAAGAGTATAGCATAGAAGTAAACTCTGAAAGCATTATTCGGCTTTTCAAAACATGGCATTCTCATTTCGCTGTGACCATGACTTAAATATTTTAACAATTATTTTTGTGGAGCCATATCTAGCTGCTCGGTCGGACAAAGATAGTTTTTGTAGAATGGTTAGTATTTTCGTTACATTTATCTATTAGTCTAGTAAGTAGTTGATCATTGGTCTTCCATATTATTTTCAGAACTTTGGTTCAGATATTACATCTTTTTAAGAGAGACTTGACAAAACTTTATATTATAATTTTCTTGTTTACCTTTGAAGGACTATTAAAATATACGTACTTAACTCTTACTTTAAGTATATAGACATGAGCTGTTATACTTTAAATATAAGTACTATACTTTAAACATATAAGTTGCAGCGTAGAAAGAACGGTGCATTTAATCAAGAAACAAGACTTTATGCTAATAAGGCTTAGAAACTAGCCTCCGCTAGCCTCGTAATAAATATTTACCTGCACTCATTATGTAAGAAACAAATATATACATAAAGCGACATCCTCGTAAACAAGATAGCGACTACGATTACTGATATGTTGTCAACATACTAAGTAGTCTTAAAGAATATTACACTAAACAGTAGTAATATTTCTGTCAAAAAAGAAATTAACCTCGCATCAGGCGAGGAAAGCAAAAGCTTAGCAAGATTATATCACATACAAATCACTGCACATGTCATCTTAAATTGTAATTCTAGCACGTAGTACCTCCAAGTTCTAACGCTGGTATTGTAAACTACAAGGCTGGCGTTAACGCGTGAGAACTTTACCGGACTACCGGCGTCTCACGCAATGCATGTCACATTTATATACATATTTAATTTCCACTTCATTGTTTACCTTATCGCTTCCTCGTATTTATCTTAAATTATTATTCTTAAATGACTGTATTTTATTATTATTATAGTATTTTATGTATAGGTACTACAATTTAAGTTTTGTCGTGCGACTGTCATTCGTAGGTTTTGTGATCTATAAGTATATTAATGTTAATAACTTCTGTAATAAACATCATGGGTTTGAAAAACCTATGGTTAAGACAAATAAAAAAAAACTCACTTTAAGTTATTATAAATTATATGACCTAATATTCATAATATAAAATACAAATGAATGTTTTATACATTTTCAACAAAATTAGTTATGGAGGGATAGTGGAGTGTAATAGAAAATACTCAAAATAGAATATATATATATGCACTGTTCTTCATTTGACGACACATTTGGCTCAATTTGTAGTGACTCTACTTGCTGTGCCAGCGGTCGCGGATTTTAGTGCCGCTGGGGGCATTCATTTCGATGATGAGCACGAATGTTTGTACCCAGTCATGGGTGTTTATATTAATAATATGTGTGTATTCAAAGTTATATAAGTGTAGTGTATCAACTATCTGGTATCCATAACCTAAGCCTCGTATAAACCATGGAACTAGATGGTGCTGTGTGTTAATGTCCCAATAGATTTATTTGACAAAACTGCCTCGGTGGTGTAGTGGCTAGCATGTACGGCTACACACTCGGAGGTCCTGGGTTCGAGTCCCGCGTCGGGCCAAGTTTAGTTATTGAGTCTTTCTGTATAGTAAGTCTCAGTAACAGCCCGGAGTTGGGAAGTTGGCGGTGTTTCACCCCCGTGCCTCGGAGAGCACGTAAAGCAGTCGGTCCTGCGCTTTAACTCTCACTGGTCGTGTCGAGTGGTCGTCCCACCAGAGTATGAGAGTGACAGGAACAGAGTGCACCTGTGCCTGCGCGTACACTCGTGCACTATAATAATAGGTTGGCTACACAGTTGGCTAGTCTCAATGAGATTGGCCGCCGTGGCCAAAATCGGCTAGGAGAACATCATCAGATTTATTTATTTATATTACACTTCGCCTCCCCATATAATACTTAAACCTAAAAACTTGATAATTGTTCTACACTTACATGAATCTAGCTATTGAACTTGGCGGTCCATTTAATTAACGCTTTATGAAAGACACTCATTTAATAGTTGTTACGAAATTCATTCATGCCTTCCAGTATAGGTGCGGTGTGAGTAATTTTTAAGGCTATTCGCAAATTTAAAATAATTTACCTTTGAAATTTCACACCAGAGATTTGATAATTTTATAGTAAAATGTGTATAAGTAATATTCTAAAATGTATCTATTTCAAAACCTAGCGTAAAATATTATGTAGTGTAAATGAAATAATAAAGGTTTTGTGGTACAACAATATATGTCCCAAATAAAAGGCACAGAATACGTAATAGGTAACATACCTTTTGCACTAGACTCCATGTTTGTGAACGTTGCATTTGAATATTACCTACCGATTAGGTTTATAATTAAATGGAGACAAATTTAATTAATATAAACATTTTTAATCTTTGCACTTTGCAAGTATTAAAGTACGTAATGATAACCTGCTACAGGTATAGTTAGGCCGCCATTGCTCAAAACATGCTTTACTGGCGGCTTATAAAATTTTAGCAGCTATTATGATATCTTTGTTGATCTAAATATTGTTATTTTATAAACAGTTTAATTAAAACTGAAATGAAAGTTAGCATTATCTTTATCAGTTATCTTTATCAAGTGCTATAGAGAACAGATTTCTATAACTATTCCCACTGCTTACAAATGAAAAGAACAATAAGTGTACGAGAAAGGCAAATTATAATGGCTAACTTAATTGAACAATGAGACGTTATTAAGCCTATTTTGTATAGCTTTATCTATATTATTAAGTTTTGTAAATAATACGAAGTTATTTATGAAGTTAAACGGTGGTAGTAATATATAAGGTAAAAAAGGGTGTGTGTACTTATACGGTACGCATGTAAGAAGTTATACTTCTTTGGCGTAACAAAACAAAAATAGCTTTCTAGATAGCAAAATAGCTAGATTTCATCCCGTATGTCACAATTCTCTGTAAAAGAAATGCAGGTAACTTCGTTATGTCGCTTTCAGCTAACTTCATGTCGCTTTCAGCTAACTTCATCGTGTCGCTTTTTGGCTGTCGGTGTGCGCGCGCATCGTAAAAAATTTACTCCCATATTTTTTTCCAAACGTGCCAATAGAAGTATAACTTCAAAAATATTTTAATTTAATTTGCTTGTTTAGTGACTTCAGGTAGTAGTCATGTTGGCACTATTTACTCCGACAATATCACTTAGAAAAAAAAAACAAAAATAGACTATAGGTTTAAAATAATTGAATTGACATTGACACTATCTTGTCCAACATGGTCTGTACACACTTACTCGTAATATATACATATGTGACACTCATTATTTTCAAATTAACTTTAATCTCACACCTAAGATCAACGAACTTCCTACACGGATGGTTTAAAACCCGTGACTTTTAATTCTTTTGTTCCCAACCAGAACAATGTTTATACTCTTTATTGAATGGTATTTCGTCGCGAAAATACTAAAACAGGTAATTAAACTACGTAATTGAAATAATTTATTATGAACACAAAAAATCAGAGATATAAAATAATTTAATCTTATCCGATCTCATGTATGGGAACTACTTACAAAGAAATCTTAGTCATAGTTGCGTCGTTTAAATTATTCTTCAAAAATACCTACATTCATAATATTTCTCAGGAATCAGGATACGTACAAAAGTTAAAAAAAAACTTAACTACACATATATTCTACACATAAGTACATAGAATATAGTATATGTATATGTGTGTGTAGACTATACATAGTATATAAACATATACATATTAGCAAATTACAATTGTTTAAATAATTATACATATACCTACCTCAGTGTAATATAAAATTTGCAGATTAACATCTTACAACGTCTTAAATGTTAAAATAGAGACCAAGTTCTATGTAACTATTTAAAACTTTAGTAATTTAGATACGAACTAAAAGATACATAAGTATAATTAAATTTTAACGACGCAACAGACACATTATAACTATGACACCACAAATATGGCATAAAAGTTTTTGGTTAACTTTAAATTACCTTATACTCTACAAACGGTTAAATTAAATAAAAACTGCCGACTCGGACAGTTGTCATTAATTGCACAAGCCACTCATTAATCACGCCACGTCAAGTTCGCCACGATGACTAATTCGTCATTAGAATTAAATTATTTCGAAGAAATACCCTCTTCTAAGGCCATTATATATTTCCTTCTTACTTCTTGTTTGCAAGTTACACTGTTTTGCTTCAATTCAATCGAAGCTGCTATACTTAATGTAGAGTTTTAAAGTACCTATTGGACTTTTAGTAATCATTGAGTCGGGCTATGTCTTGGAGTTCGTATCTCCCTTGTTTTATCTGGCCATTTTTTCGCAGCATATTGTACATACCCTGGATCCGTCGGTGTTCCGGACGCTCTCCCTTCGTTATCTGTGATTTCTCTATCTCTTTCTTCTATTGGCTCCATTGGAAAGATAGCTGGTGTCTCAGATCTTCGCGATCTACTTGAACTTCGTAAATAATCCTCAAGCTGTTGTATTGTGGGAGTTGCAACAGTCTTTGCCCGTGTTGGCGATTTAGATTGACGTTTTTGTTCATACGTCGGTGAAGCGTCGTCATATAAGCTCTTCAATCGGCCTGTTTTTACTTTAGAGAATACGGGCGTTTGCAGTTCCGGTAAATAGTCCTCTTTAACAGGCAACCTCCCTGCAACGTTGTCCAAGTAATCCCTTAAATATTTCTCATTAAACTTAGCAAGTTCTTGCTCGTAATGTAGTTTGTCTGGCTGTATCGATAGTGGCTCTGTAAGTCGAACATAATTTCCCGACTCGATGCCATTGCGCAACGAACCAAACTTAGATTTTTCTAGATCTTTCTCAATGGGAATATCACCTAATTTGTCTATATTCATAAAATCAAATTTAGGTTCGTCAAATAAACTTTGTTCATCTTTTTTAGTTTCTTTTTCTATGGCTTTTTCCAAATCTAAATCTTTTGGTCTTTCAGGAACATGTCCATTTTGTTTGCCATTCATTAGCTGGCCGTTAGTAGTAGGCTGTGTGATAATTGAGACTTTCTTTTCAGATTTTGGAGACGTTATGGCGTCTGTTTGTGAAGGTCGTGTTGCTGTGTATACTCTAGGACCCATTAAGTCTATTAGAAAGAGTATTGCAACAACGAGAGACAGTGAACCTAGTATTGAAGCGTTCACTACAAGTTTGTTTGGAACTGAGTCTAAAGAAGCGAGCTCTAGACCACCTGCAGACAAAAGGTTAGGTTACTTGTGTGAAAGGGAAGTTTAATTTTCAAATAAATCTGTAATCTTACTAAACAACTCACCCAAAATGAGAAAAAATATTGTCCCAAAACCAAGAAACACTCCTTCTAATATTCTTCGTCCTTTTGGAACCTCATGAAATACCCGTCCTAATATTAGGGCAAACGTTATGATTACGTAACCTAAAAAGAAAAACGAGTATAAATAAACGTCTATATAATATTTAATTAAATGATTTCGAAACTAGAGCGCTTGATAAAAAAATAAAGCGTAACATATTTTCTTTATTTATCTTAGTTGTCCGTCCTTCTGTCTTAAGTCTATACAATATAAGGTAAGTGTATAAAGCTGCTTCTAATTTTTTTTAACATCACGTTTCATGATAATATAGCTACATACTCAGTTGCCTTGTAATAGGTATCTATATTATTACAATTATAGTCCATTGCGGTCAGATAAATATTGTATCGAGTAGTTACAAATTAATTTCTAAGATCTCATAGCAGTTTAGAGCTAGCCGGCGGTTTCACTCACGTATTATGATCGTAGTCTTAAATCCCGTAGAAATTGGTCCAGTATATACCGAAGATACAAACGACAGTCGTGTATTAGGTTATTTATAATTTACCTATTAGCGACTAAAACTTCGCTCGGGTGCATCTCTAAACTATGCCTCACACATGTTACTCCAGGTAACAGTCTTATCTATATGTATTGATATTTTTTATCTAATTCCGTTCAGCCATTTCAGCGTGTAGAGGTAACAAACATACATATAGGAACTTTTGCATACATAATACTTAGTAATCTAATTTGTCTATTTGTCAGCCTAGTTTTATTTAATTATTTAAAAGTAGATAAAATATATTATGATCATAATAACATACCTCCATATACAGCATCGGCAAATGCGCCTCCAACAGAGTCCCACGTGACTGATGTAAGCAAGGACCACTCTCGGGATAACTTTTGCAATAGCAACGCCAATCGCGCCTCATCATCTGTAGACACTCGTTTCGTGACCAGGCATGCCACGCAAAACAACTGGGTACATGTAAAAAAGGTTTAAATAAGTCTTTATGTATAGTATCTATTCCTTGAGTTATAATTTCTGGTCCATATTGGCACTACGATTTCTATGGCGCTGCTATTTAACGATGCATTTCGATAAATAGACCCGAAATAAAATGAAATGACGAACAATATTTTATTGATAGAGTTATTTATCATACTTATTCTCCCATTAAAAATATCTCTTCATACACTTATTTATTACATACTAGCGAGTTACCCTCACTCCACTCGGATCTATTTCTAGGTAAATATCTTAAGGTTTAGACAGCGTGTAAATTTCTAAGGACGACTAAAGTTATTGTGTTTTTCCTTGGAAACAAAAGATTTTCTTATATTGAAAGGTATTTTAAATGTTAAGTTATCAATCACTACACAAAACTTTTAAAATCGGTTCAGATAAACAGACATATAGATGAAAAAATTTAAATATTGTTTTGGGCTCTATATTCTGTACACAACAAGTTAGGCATTGTGTTTATAAAATAAAATATTTCATGTACAGATTTCGCTTTGTTATAATTTTATTATATGTAGGTACATATATATGTACCTATAGATTATGTTAGAACTAAAGGAACTTAGTTTCTTTTAATACCTACTAAAAATATCATGATGTGGAACATTAGCATCAACTAAGTAGAGTATCCATACTTATTTTTGAAAAATCTTTGGTTAGTTACCTGGCTACCTTCGGGCTTCCTTAAACGTATTTTTTATATAAGTATTAAGTATCGTTTTATTTCTAACTAGCCAATCACCCTCGCTTCACTCGGGTTCATCCCTAATAAAAACAAATCTATCCCACGGGAACCATACATTGTTCCGAAATAAAAAATAACCTTTGTGCTATTCCAGATAATGTATCTGTGCCAAATTTTATCCAGATTCGTGCAGCCGTTCTGGCGTGATTCAGTAACAAACATCTATCCATCCAAAGTTTCGGATTCATAATATTAATAGGATTCAATAATGTAAATAATACTTTTAAATTAATCTACACATAAATAATAAACTTAGTTACGTAATGTTTACATCTAGACGACAAACGTGTGTTGAATCATTTGCTGTACCTAATATTGCTCGTTATATAGGTACCGTATTGGTATGTTAGCGTTATGTAACGTTGTTCCCTCGACTTTGCTGGGCTTTTAAGTCTTTGTGAATAACGATTACGAAAATCGATTAGGTATTTGTTGATCATCGAAATTTTGACATATCGTTTAAGAAATCGATAATACATAACATACGTGGAAGTACCTAGTACATTATACAAAAATAATTTTTGTATAGATTATTTCAAGTAATGCACATAAAACTTAGAAGAATTGAGATTCATACTTGTTACGATCATAAAGTGTATTCTTCACGAAAACTAAACAACTGACATTCGTTTACCCATCACTAAAAGTATTAGAAACAACATAAGTTAAAATAAAACACGCTATTTAAATGAGTGTATTTTAGTAATCTTAGGAAAATACATATATTACTTATTAAATCTAAGTAAATTAGCCAATTATGATCTTTTTTTTTCGTTTAGGTACGAAAATATTTTTGTACCTACGTTACATCTAATAGGTACCCACTAGTAGGTAGTCACCAGCAATCATATCGGGAAGAAATTATGAAGATATATTGTACCTATGTGTTAACTAAGAATTCTGAATTTGGAATATCCATTATTAAAACCTTTAAGTACTTATAACGTAAAGTAATCTCCACTCTCAAACTTTCGCATTAATAAGGTGGTAACATAATAATAAGTCTGTAGTAAGGGACTGCATGGTCACTCAAATGGAAGGCTATATAAAAACAATGCCTAGAGGCCACTGACAATAGCTGGCGGTTTGTCAATTAGCCCTATTTAGAACCTTAGGTTCCCGACCTCACCACTACATATTCACGTACCTATTATAGTTTTGACGACACGTTTGACTCAGTTTATAGTGACCCTACTTGCTGTGCCAGCGGTCGAGGGTTCGAGTCCCGCTGCGGGCATTCATTTGTGTGATGAACGCAAATGTTTGTACTCCAGTCATGGGTGTTTAAATTTATAATATATATATATATATATATATATATATATATATATATATATATATATATATATATATTTGTATGTATTTAAAGTTATATATGTGTAGTGTATCAACTATCTGGTATCCATAACACAGACCGCGTAGCTTACCATGGAACCAGATGGTGCTGTGTTACTGTCCCAACATATTTATTTATTATAGTAAAGTTAAGTTAGGACTATATTTTTTTAATTTAAACACATCGCTTTTTCTTTGGTAATTCTTGCCATAATTATAATGCCTTACCTAAAAGCAAAATATAAAAAAAAACGGATTTTTTATTTTGCCTTATACCGCGACCATAACCTGTTATTTACAAAGAATAATTAATATCGATAAAATAATCAATCACGTGACATATTTACAACAAAAATATGAGTATTTGAATGGCGTATTGAGAAACTCTTCTAAGTCTGTTAATTGTTGTAAGAAAAGTTACTTATTTGTAGTTAATAAAATGTTAACCAATTTGATTTTTTATGTGAAGCGTGTATGTATGTACTCGTAATTATCTATGGTACAAAAAAATCAAATTGAAGTGTCTGTTTATAATGTCAAAATAACAACTTTTTAATAAATTCATATGCAATTATATACGATACTTATAAGTAAAACAAAATTTTTAAAATGTTTGTCTATCTGTTTGTTCCGGCTAATCTCCGAAACGGCTGGATTCATTTTGCCGGGATTTTCACTGGCAGATAACTGATGTTTTAAAGAGTAACTTAGGCTACTTTTATTTATTTTTTAAATTAGGATCCCACCCAAAAAAATTAAAACGTAGTAAGGACACGCGAGCGAAGCAAGGGTAAATCGCTAGAAAATATGTATACCTATTCTGTTAGTAGGCAGGTAAATTGTTTTTATAATCATTATAAGAGAAACGACAAACATCGTACATATTATGCTAATTAGGTATTTAATATTAGATATAACAATGCTTGATGAATTGTCAGTTAGTTCCACTGTGAGTCTTCCATAACCTCAGAACCTTCGTGCTACAACCTCTTGATTGTTACGTCATTGTCCACCGTGAGACCGGCATTGACATGCGTGCGATAATAGATTAAGGAAAATATTATTTTTGCAGTTAAGTTTACCATTGAAGGGAGAAGTTCAAATATTAAAAGCTACCTCACAAGGTATAATGTTGCGTTATCGTCAATACACCGCGCCTACAAAAATACCAGTTACGACACCCACATAGCGAAGTGATACTCAATGTTATGAGGTTCTATTCTATTTAGCTGTATGATAACACCATAAATTATTTATTTAAATGGCCACAATTCCTAGAAAACAATAACATTTAAAGAAAGTAAAAAGTATTTAAAAAATCCGAATATTGAATAATATATAGATAATAGGGCATCCCATATAAGTAAACTATATATACATATAATAAAATTCTAACTAAGTCTAATCTGTACATTAGATATTATATGGAAAATGTTATTGAAATAGACATTATTATCGATACAGAGGTCGAATCTATAGTTCTTAGAATTTTTGTCTGTCTCTATGTCTCTTACCGCATCACAGAAAAACTACAGGAGGGATTTTGATGAAATTTGGTATAGTCACAGTTGGTTATCCGGGTCTACATATAGGATACTTTTTACTGCGGTAAAATATCTCATCTCTGAGACACTAAACGTAATAAACTAAGCTGACGGAAGCACTGGCGCGTTAATATTTTTTATTAATACATATATTGATTAAAAAAAGAAAACAAAATCAACCATAGCAAAACTCCAAACTCGGACACATGAAGTAAGCCATCCACATAACATATTGTGAAACCAAACATTTGGTAACAAGCTCGGAATATCAACACTGGCCGGAGGCTAACGCTTGGATATTTTGAAAACGTTTTAAAGTAAATTATAATTTACTATATAATATAATAGTTCCGGTTAGTTTGAACAAAAATTTGTTACCTATATACATAGTTAAGATATATTTCAAAAATAATTTAATCTACCCGGAAAATTTCAATCTATAAATAATATCATATTCTTAAACGACTTGTTTACAATAAATTATCAATGATCGGTAGTAAGATGGAGGTCAATGCCAAATACTAGCATAGATAAGCAGTATTATCCGAATTATATTAGTTAAAATTTTCAAATTTAAATACTTTGCCCACCACATTTCAATTACGTAAATAATATTATTTCATCAAAATTCTTTACATTCAACTTAAACCTCAAAATAAAAACACAAACAAAACACCTTTTAAAAACATACTAGCACCCACAAGCTGTTATCAACAATCTTGTAATATTCGCATACTTACGAACTCCACTATCTTGAGCGCGACCCACTTGTCGCACTCCATGCCTGCCGCGTCCGATAAGCGTTGCACAACACTGGGCTACTAATACGCGGCCTGCTCCTAGTCTATATACGAATATGGCGTACAGCGGTATAGTCCAGGCGCTGCAGGAGGCGGCCGCACGACGCAAGCGCACACTTTTGTTTGACACAAACTGGTATTTTCACGCGCCTCTACGTGTGACATTGAATCAAAACATCGCAAGCGCAGGTGTGGGACAGTGGGGTCATCATGCACACGCAAATAAAACACCGAGCCATCGTTATACTTAAATTTATTAATCGACCAATCGATGCATGCAATATTATTTAAAAACCTCACAAAACAAGTAGAGATAAATTCATATTTGCGAACAAAATGCTCAGATTTATCTAATTTCATAATGCTGCATTATCGCTGAGAAAACGGTTCCAAATTGATTCGCGAAGTAATAACCTGATTTTATTTCAATATATGCATGTAGACTTAATAGTAAACTACGATATTATGAATATTTCGTTGAAAAAACATCAAAAAAGTAGAGATAGTTGTGCAATAAAACTATACCGGGTTAGAGTCGCCCGGCCCTTAATTCATATCAATCTAACGTAAAAAGCTAAAACATTAACAGAATCGCGCTTACACGTACTGACGCTGGCGCTTGAGTCTTCGACAATACATAATCAACAATAAACTATTGGATTCTTAATATACACGTACACACTTGAAAATAAAAGTCTATCGTTAAAAAATAATCTAAATTTATCCCTCTTAATAAAAAGCGGAGCGCAAGACATGTTTATATATATACAATGTACATACAAAATAAATAAGAGCCGTGCAATCGGTCTGCATTCCATTACCGAATAAATATATAAACCCGTTGCAGTTTTAATTAGAATAGTATTAGCAAATTGATTTGACATCATTAAAATGTAGAGCGTTGAAAAATAAATTGATAAATAATCGCTTAAAATTGTATATCGGTGACATATTTCTTGCGCTCTCGCTGCTCCCACACATACATTCCCAAAATTAAAACACCAATGTTAACATTAAACCACAAACAAAATTGTAAAAAGGCAGACTCTACAATAAATTATTTTCTTATTGCTCTTACTCTTCAATATATATTAATCAGTGGATTAATTATAATGTATGATTTCTGCAAAGTGTAGAAAAGGAGCTCCTATGATATATTCTTTTTAGGAATTATAAAAAGAGCTTTAAAATGAATTTTTAAATATATTTTCCATTTTCATACCAAATAAAAGATAACGAGTTTCCATTCCGTTAAACAAAATTAATATTTATCGTTGGATGGATGGAGTCGAACCTATCATTAGCGCTATATCTCGCTATAGGACTTACCACTACGCATATACAATTTAAGAAAATGTGTAAAATGGGATCATAATATGAAAAAAAAAATTACAAATATTTCATAGCTTCTTTGTTCTTTCGATTATGATTAAAATTATGTCTGCTGAAACAATTCTGTTTGTGGTTAAAACCTTGGTTAGGAAGCGACACAAACGTGAAAAAAATAATTAGTGCATTATTATTTCATGCAATTAAAAAAATCATCAGTTAAAAAACACCAAGACCCTGGATACCCGCTTGTTATACATATTTTAGTATACACATTTTATGAAGCCAAATTGTATAATTTTTCAAATTTTGTAAAATATTTTAATTTTCATTACTGAATGTCGTAATATGTATATTTATTGACTTGAATAGCCAACATATTTCACACAAAACATCATAATAGTACCAAATAATTAGTATAATTTAAAGTACCAGTAAAAGTATTTTTAAAGATATAAAACTTGCAAGTTATTAATATACATACCACCATTATTATTGAAATGAATTGGAAAATTGATCATTGTATACATTAAAAGTTAAAAAAAATATTACAACTGGTATTTTATTTAAAAGTACTTAAATTAGTAAAAAAATAAAATAAGCAATTAAAAATTAATATTGTTAATGTTAACAACAACTGCATTATAATAACATTAATTTAATAAAAGGAGTGTCTGCAAACATAAATAAATACTTGACAAATATTTAGCATAATTTTGATGGTTTAAACTAATCTTTACTTGTCAAGTATCAATATAATAATGACGAACTACATATAAACGCAATACAATATAAATTATAAACCATATAATATGTGCAATATCCTGTCTGTAGCAAGCTTATTGTAACTGTTGAGTCTAGTTTTTTCTCACACATATACACTGTGAACCAAAATTCAGATAAACTGCTTGCTTACGTTTAGATAAAGTGACATCGCTCATATTGAGCAGTATTTAAAAAAAAGACAGAATCAAAATTTAGTCTTTTCTGAAATTACACAAACACAAACCTAATTCATTTCCCTTAAAAAACTCTATTAGCGAGATCCACAGTACATACAAATATGTTATATACAAGCAAATTCCAATACAAGCATTCTAAGTCAGTCAGTTTGAAGTTAGCAAAGTTTAGCTACTAATACGCATGTTTTTGAACTTTCTAGAAGTAAATTGTGCAAAGCCCGCCCCTTGCGAAAATGGCTCACCTATAGTTAAAACCAGGAGGAACTAACTTGAGTCCGATTAACTTAAGATTGCTCATACTATATTATACAGGTATCCAAGGTCCTTACATTCAACATATCAACTCACTGGGGCCTCATGAACTCGCCAAGGGGGTGGCGCGTGGTCCAGGGGTTGAAGTCGGGCCCGCGCGGCGTCGAGGGCGCGGCGGGCGGCGGCGTCCACACGTTGGGCAGCCCTGACAGGTTGAGTGACGACATCGACGAGAGAAGTGACTCCACGCCGTATAACTGCCTGCTCCAGCTGTGATAAAACTTTAGGCTTTATAAACGGAATTTGATAGTGTATAATTTGTTACTGAGACAAACACCTATATGGTTTTTTTTAAATTAGACTATCTTTTCGGATGTTTCGCGGATTTATGATTATATGACTACCCACAAAAAATGTAACATTTTGTAATTTTGTGGGTGGGCACTGTCTGTAACAACTATATAACTTTTGAGACGTCTAAAACCTTATAGTAGGGGAGCCCAAGAGGGGATTTTTTGAGTTACTCAAGCGCGACGGGACCATGATTGCTGTAAAGCATTCAAAATGTCGGTAAATAAAAATCAAAACAAATCCGCGAAATAAAAGATAGTTTTATATATAATTTCAAATATTCACATAAATCTAAGAAAATATTATGTAAACGTAATCATATATGGTCATTAGAAACAGTGAAATTAAAACTCGCTACCTCTGACGTAGTAGGCAAGCACCTGTTATATGCGTTCATATTCGCCTTGACACAATATTCAGATTCTAACTTTAATAACTTCATTGTATTCTCAGTTTTCTATTATTTTATTGCACTAATATCATATACACCTCCATATTCACATTATAGTCTACTAGTGACTCAGCCTCGTTTCACTCGGGTTCGTCCCTGGCTTGGTTGCCCATACAGACTTTCATCCCCATTTTCACCATCTTAAGGGATGATTTCTGGGATAAAAAGTATCCTATGTCCTTTCCAGGGACTCAAACTATCTTCTTACCAAATTTCATCTAAATCGGTTCAGTAGATCCAGAGATTACCCCCTACAACGTCACAAACTCTCACAAACTTTGTCTCTTTATTATATTAATATTAGTAATATTAGTATTATAATACTATTAGTATTATATTATATTAGTATAGATAAGTATGACAGTGTTAAAATTTTTATATGTATATTATATATGTTATACCTACCGAATAACTCGATAGTATATTATAGAAAGTACCTGGGCGACCGACCGGGATTCGAACCCGGGCACCTTTTGATAAGAAATCTTGCGCCTTGGCCACTTGACTACGATGCTTATGCCCGAGCGTTCAAAATTAACGACTATATTTTGCGTGGAATAGAAAATCGCTGAAAACTCGAAAACACGCGTTTTTCCAGACATTAAGAGTAATCTATATCGGTTTTTCGCCCCCGAAAATCCCCACATACCAAATTTCTGCGAAATCATTAGAGCCGTTTCCGAGATCACCCGTATCTTATCTTATATCTTTAAACGAGCAATTCTTATATATATAATCTGAATCTTGGAAACGGCTCCAACGATTTTCATGTAATTTAGTAGGCAGGGGGTTTCGTGGGCGATAAATCGATCTAGATTAGTCTTATGTCTGAGAAAACGCGTGTTCTCGAGTTTTCATGCAGTTTTCTTTTGCATTATTCCACGAAAATATGTCGGTTATTTGCACGCTCGGGCATAAACATCGTGGTCAAGCGGCCAAGGTGCAAGATCAACAATCACAGGTGTCAAGGTTCGAATCTCGGTCGCATACAAAGTTTTTACTTTTGTTTTTGTTTTAATATTTATTCCAGTTTTTAGTTTAAAAAAAAAAGAAAATTGTACTTCAGGCCAAAAACTGCGAGCGAAGCTCGGTAGCCCAGGTACTAAATAATTAAATAAATATACAAAAATTGCTCGTTTAAATATATTAGATAAAAAAATAAAAAAGTAAAAGCAAGCACTAACTCCTGAGGTTGGGGCGGTCGCGCGGCGCCGCGCTGCGCCTCGTGTATCATGCGCAGGCGGCGCGCTTGCGACCAGCGCTCCAGCGAGTACGAGGCGGCGCGGGCGGGCGCGGGCGCGGCGCCGGCGCCCGCAGGCTCCTCCTCCGCGCGCGTCAGCTCCACGCCGCGCTCGGGCGACCAGCGGCCTACCTGCATACGAAAGTATTCAATCCTTATTAACGTCCCACTGCTGGTCACGGGACTCCACATACGAGAGGAATCAGGCCATAGCCCACCACGTTGGCCAAGTGCGGGTTGCCTGTGAGTTTTAAAACACAATTTTCATCGAACACTTTGCAGTATATTATAATACTTATTCTCCATCCATACAAGACGACACGTTTGTATCAGTTTGTAGTGACCCTACTTGCTGTGCCAGTGGTCGCTGGTACCAGTCCCGCTGTGGGAAGATGTCCTTTTAACTATAATTAGAGTTCATCCCTAATCATATTTGTCTACCTATTAGATATTCATATTTTAAAATATTGTCGGCTGGCACCGACTTCGAAAATATCTGATTAGGTGTACCTACTCTAAATAAAAACCCCCGTTTAGTTATTTTTTACATTTTAGTGTCGGAAGTAGTTTTTTTTTAGTTTTTGTTTTAGTTCACTTTTTACGCAGATAGGTATTTATTTTAGGGTAAATAAAAATCGTTACTAAGACAATAGGTAATTAGAAATATATTAAAGTATACTTTCCAAGATTCGAGAAATATATTAAAGTTTAAAAATTTCTTAACAAAAAGGCTCGAATATCTAATAACCCAAGTCCAAACCGAGAGTCGAACCCAGGACCTCCGGATCTATTACTAGCTACTAAACCACTATAGCAGTTATACAAAAATTGACATAACTTTTTATTTATAAATCGATTGAAAAAAAACAAACACTAAATGTTAAGTGAAGCTTACCACAATACATTAGAGAAAACCAAACCCAAATTGGTTACGCTGTTTCAGCGATTAATGCGTACATGCGTACAAACAAACCAACAAATAAACTAAAAATCATTGTTTTGGGTTCTATTTTATACATTAAGTATAGTATAATATAGCATAATATAGTATAGCATTAGTATAGTGATAGTATAGCATTAAGTACTGTAAGCCATACTTTAGTAATGTATCATCTATCTCTCATGTATCATCCATATATGGTCGACCACCCATTAAGCTAAGCTTCATTATAAATTTACTTATTATATTTTGATTATTAAATATGTCTCCAACCTAAGAAGACGTTTATCATTGGAACCTCTAAAACACACCACATTTGATGGCGACCCTGCTGAAGAGACCTGCTTTGCTGCCCTATTGTTCTACGTAAATCCAAGATGTGTCTGTCAGTCATCGCAGTCAAAAGAAAATATAATTATTGGACAAAATGCTGCTGGATCAGCTGCCAACCAAGCTTACATAGAAGAATTAAAATCCAGCATCGGAATATCTAATATTTTCATGGGAATTTTGGTGTTGATTGTATTGCTGGCGGCTAGCATCGGAGCTTATAAGGTTTACAAGCGATGCCACAGGCGATGGATTCGGGAAGAAGTTAATTCATTGGCACTACAACGAGCTACAAGTATGATTCGACGCGGCCGTTCTCAAAAATCATCGAATGAAGGAGGTGACTAAATGAAAAAAAAAAAAGTGTGTAAGTGCGTCCTTAAACTGTGATCCACGTAAGTGTTTAAACTGTGCATAATTATATTCGGCGCGTGTAAACTCGCGAATATGATACGCGCCGCCCGAGAAGGAAAGATGCGACATTCCATTCCCGCTCAAATTACACGATGTACTTAGGTATCTTATTGTCAGTAATGTTACTATGTGCTATTTTAAGATTTGATGTTTATTATAATTATTAAGATTTAGTATGACAGATAAATTATGTTTAATATATAACTCTTTAATTGATATAAAGAAATACTTAATAAAATCGGGTAAAAAAAGATTTACGGGAAATATCATAGAAAATAAATTAAATGAGTGTGAAAAACTTTTATCAAGTAGCAGTTTAATTTTAGAAAATATAAAGTATAATGAAAAGTCGGATATAATTAATAAAGCTATTGAAATATATGAAAATATTAATGTTATATATTTAGAGATAAAAAAATTGTGTATTAAGTCAGAAAGTTATTTCACAAAAATGGATTTCGATTTAAAAACGGCTTGTAGTTTGTTGCCGGTTATGGACGGTGTAGAGGAGACTACGAAGAAATTAATTGATAGTATTGAGATGTATGCGGATATGCTTAAAGATTCAGATTTTCCTTTATTAATTAAATTTATTTTAAAAAGTAGACTCTCCGAAAACGCTAAAATGCGCATGTTGACAGACTATACTTCTGTTAAAGATATTGTTAAGGATATGAAAATTCACCTTTTAACTAAAAAATCATTTACGGCTATTCAAGCACGTCTTCAACAGACTACTCAAGGTTGGAGGTCAGTTGAGGAGTATGGAAGTGAAATCGAAAAGCTTTTCACAGAATTAACAATATCTCAAGCAGACGGAAATACTTCTAATTATAGCATTCTTAAGCCTTTGAACGAAAAGTCAGCAATTAAACAGTTTTCGGATGGTTTAAAAAATAGTAAATTAAGTACCATAATTGCAGCTAGAAACTACTCTTCTCTTAAAGACGCGATCCAAGCGGCAAAGGACGAGGAGATTTTCTTACCCTCGACCTCAACGAACTCTGACGTCATGCACATAAGGAGATCCTCGGCTCGTGGTAAAAGAGGTTTTCAAGGTAGGTACAATAATTTTAAGAATAGGTATCCTACCACAATGGGACATAATCAACGTGATCATTATGGTAATAAATATTTTTCACGTGGTAAGTATAATAACCGTGGAAATCAACGACATTATCAACATTCAAATCGCGGTCAATTTACTAGGGATACTAAACGTAGTAATAATAATCGTAATGTATTTCCCATAAATACAAATAATACAGTCAGCGAACCTATAAAAAAAGATGACGTAGATCAGTTAGCAGATCAGTTTTTTCGGATTTAAGGATTATATTTTTACTTTAAATAATAAACAAAAAATAGTTCTTTTTGAAATAAATAAATATAAATATTATTTTTTACTGGATACTGGTGCTTCATTATCTGTTATAAGAAACGAAGTTCTACATAAAAATACTACGATTTATAAAAGTGAGACTGTAGTAAATGGAATAGGAGGTCAAGTAAAATCTCGAGGTCATGTGTATTTAACATTAAAAACAAAAGATGGTGAATCATTTCATCATAAATTTTATGTTTTTACCAATTTATCGTTAAAAGTAGATGGCATTATTGGATTAGATTTCCTGAGTAAGTTTAGATGTGATATATTTTTAAATTCTAATACTTTGAGTCTTCACTCTAATAGAAAACAATGTCTTATGCCAATTTATGAAATACCGGATTATACTACGGATTATTTGTTTATCCCTGCTCGAAGTGAGTCAATACACTATGTAGCTGTAGAATCAGGTTTGGAAGGTGATTGTGTGGTTTGCGCGAAAGAATTAAGTAAAGAATTGTTTTTAGGAAGTACGATTGTAAGAATAAAGGATGGCAAGATACCAATTAAAATTTTAAATACTAGTGAAAAGGATATAAAATTACCTAGATTCATCCCTGAGGTTCATTCATTAGAGCATTATAATATTTGTAATTTTAATAAAACTGTAGCAAACGTTAAAAGAGCCGATACTCTATCATCAATCTTAAAATTAGATCATTTAAATCCCGAAGAAAATAAATCTATTAGTACTATTTGTCGGAAATATGCAGATATTTTCCATTTACCAGGTGACCAACTGACAACGACAGACATTTATGAACAGACAATTACATTAAAGCCCCATACTAGTCCAGTCTATATAAAGCCATACAGGATTCCTCAATGCCTGAAACCTGAGGTTCAAAAGCAAATTGAAAGCATGCTAAAAGATGATATAATAGAAGAATCTAAAAGTGAATGGTCTAGTCCAATTTTATTAGTTCCTAAAAAAAGTGACAAAACAGGAGAAAAAAAGTGGCGTTTAGTTGTAGACTACCGAAAACTAAATGAAAATATTCAAGATGATAAATTTCCACTTCCTAACATCACAGAAATTTTAGATTCACTTTCAGGTTCAATATATTTTTCCCATCTTGATTTAAATTCTGGATATTATCAAATTCCTCTTAACCCAGAACATCGTAAATACACTGCATTTTGTACTAATTTAGGCCAATACCAAATGAAACGACTGCCTATGGGTCTCAAAATTTCACCAAGTGCGTTTAGTAGAGTTATGTCGGTAGCTATGTCTGGGCTTACGTTTGAAAAGTGCTTCATATACCTAGACGATTTAATTGTTTTTGGCAGAAATTTAGAAATTCATAACAAACATTTGATTGATGTCTTTGAGAGACTTAGAAAAGTTAATTTAAAATTAAATCCAAGTAAATGCCAATTTCTAAAAAAAGAAATTTTATATCTTGGTCACGTAATTTCATCAGAAGGCATATTACCAGACCCTGAAAAAGTTTCAGTGTTGCAAAATTATCCCATTCCTAAAAATGCTGATGAAGTACGACGATTTGTTGCATTTTGTAATTATTATAGAAAATTTATACCCTCTTTTGCTAATATAACAATTCCTCTCAATAGACTTACTAGGAAAAATTCTACATTTTTTTGGAGTACGGAATGTCAAAATTCATTTAATATTCTTAAAGAAGCCATGATTTCTCCCCCTATACTTCAATACCCAGATTTTTCTCCGGAAAATGAGTTTATTCTTCAAACAGATGCATCAGGAATCGCTATTGGTGCAGTTTTGACTAATAAAGATTTGAAACCTATTGCATACGCAAGCAGACCTTTAAATGCATCAGAATTAAATTATCCAACAATAGAAAAGGAGCTTTTAGCTATAGTTTGGAGTGTAAAATACTTTAGACCGTACTTATATGGTAGGCATTTTACTATTAAAACTGATCATAAACCACTAGTATATTTATTCGGAATGAAAGATCCTTCTAGTCGGTTAATGAAATTTAGATTAACGTTAGAAGAGTATGATTTTAGAATTGAATATGTAAAAGGTAAAGAAAACGTAGGAGCAGATGCTTTGTCAAGAATATATATTACATCTAATGAGTTAAAAGGCATAAATGAGCAAGTTATGGCTGTGTTAACAAGAAAGCAAAAGAAGGTAATAGAAAAGGTAAATGAGAATAGCATGGAAGAGGATACACCCTTCCTTAATAACTCTGGAGACGAAAGGCCTGATCAACCAAGAGTTGTAGAGTTATTAAGAAAGCCGTGTGGGTCAGTAGAAATGAAATTGATAGTAGGTTACGAATTAGATAAATTACGAAAGGGAAACAGAATAAGTGATGAGTATGAATGTTTTTCTTATTGTCCTAGTAAAAAGATGATTTACATTAATCTCAACTTTAAGGCACAATTCTCGCGAGTCGAATTTGTGACAATGTTGAGTAATTTCTGTAAAAAGTTAAATATTGAAGAAATATGCATAATAAAAGATAAAAATAATGAAAGATTTATTAACGATTTAAATGATGAAATAAAGTTGATTAAGAAGTGGTCCGGACCGCGGATTTGCATTTTAAAAAGTGTAACTAGGATTGATAACGATGAAGAAAAATCATTCATATTAAATGATTTTCATTTACTACCAACCAGTGGCCATGCTGGTGTCCGTAGGATGGTAAACAATATTAAAAGACGATTTTACTGGCCAGGTCTCGAAACTGATGTAAGAGAATTTGTTAGAAAATGTTCTAAATGCCAGAAATCTAAACATTGTAAATACGTTAAAGAACCCATGACTCTCTCGACAACTGCGTCATACGCGTTTGAAAAAATATTTATGGATACTAGCGGACCCGACAGACGTTGTCCTGTCTACACGTCTTTAATTTGAAAATTTCAAACTTTTTTTAATAATTTTTTTGATGAAAATTATTATTCAAATTGTGAATCTAAACCATTCCCAGATCCCCTTGAACACACACAAAAAATTTCATCAAAATTGGTCCAGTCGTTTAGGAGGAGTTCAGTCACATACACACGCACACAAGAAATATATATATTAAGATAGTGGGCCCGCTACCAAAAGATTATGACGATAATGTATATATTTTAACTGTTCAATGTGAGTTAAGCAAGTTTATAGAAGCTTATCCACTAAAAAATAAGGAATCCATTAGCGTAGCTAGAGCGTTAGTAAATAATTTTATTTTAAGATTCGGCATACCTAAAATAATAGCAACAGACAGAGGAACAGAGTTCACATCTTCCACCATAACCCAGGTATGTAAACTATTAAATGTAATAATATTACCTCAACAGCATACCATCATCAATCCATCGGAGCATTGAAGAATGCTCATAAAAATTTAGGTTCATTCTTACGAATTCACTGCGACAAAGACAAACAATCTTGGTCTTATTGGCTACCATACTGGTGTTTTAGTTTTAATACCACAGTCCATACCGAAACAAAATACCAACCGTTTGAACTTGTATTTGGTAGGCAGTGCAATATTCCCAATAGATTATCTAATACAATAGAACCTGTGTATAACCCAGAAAATTATAGTAGTGAACTTAAATATAGGTTGCAAGTTGCTTTTAAGGATGCCCGAAATAATTTATTAGAAAGTAAGTGTAGTCGTAAAATAAAATATGATAAGTATATTAATCCTATTAGTTATAATAAAGATGACTTAATTTTAGTAAAGTCAGAAACAGGCGGTAAGTTGGACGAACTGTTCAATGGACCATTTGTTGTATTAGAAGATATGGGACCAAATGTAAAAATAATTAAGGATAAGAAAATAGATATAGTGCATAAGAATCGAACAAAACGATTTATTAGGTAGTACATGTAATATAAAAAAATATATTTATATATTAAAATATTTTTTTTTCTTTCACCCCCGGAGGTGAAGTGTAAAATGTTTATACATTAAGTATAGTATAATATAGCATAATATAGTATAGCATTAGTATAGTGATAGTATAGCATTAAGTACTGTAAGCCATACTTTAGTAATGTATCATCTATCTCTCATGTATCATCCATATATGGTCGACCACCCATTAAGCTAAGCTTCATTATAAATTTACTTATTATATTTTGATTATTAAATATGTCTCCAACCTAAGAAGACGTTTATCATTGGAACCTCTAAAACACACCACATTTGACGTTAATAAAGACCAAAGTAAAATAAAGATGTACAGACATTAAATATTTTTTGGAAATTCTTATTGAAATAGACTTTATTACCGATATAGAGGCCGAATCTATAGTTTTTAGAATTTTTGTCTGTCTGTTACCGCATCACAAAAAACCACTGGAGGGATTTTGATGAAATTTGGTATGGTGATAGCTGATTATCCGGGTCAACATATAGGATACTTTTTACCGCGTGAAAATGTATCATTTCTGAGAAAAAATACAAAAACTGCAATGTAAGAATAGATATAATAATAAGTAAAACCTAAGTATTTGGTTTTTGGTCACCTGTACGCGGGTGGAGCCGCGGGCAATGCTTGTATCAATTATAACTAAAATTTAATAGAACTGCATATTATGAAGTACATATCTCGTATTATTTAAGGACAACTTTATTATGACACTACTATTGCTTTTTTATGGTAAATTATATTGTTATTTACTTAAAAAAATGTCATCAATATATCAATAAGCTGAAGAGCGCATTTAGAAAGGATCCATCCAAAGAAAATGGCCGACTTGGTTAGCGATTAACCACATGAAGACTAAATAATTAAATACTATTCTCCTTACCTCTCTATACTGTCGCAGTAGCTGTGGAGACTGGGGCATAGACCAATCCACAGCGGGCCTGGCATCGGAGCCCCAGGCCGCCGCGGCCGCCGCCACCAACGCCTTCCTCGCCATGGCCGCGCCACGGTGCGACTTGTACTCAACTATGGCCGCGCATGACGCCGCGCCACGTCTTATGCGAACCTCTTGCACCTCATCGGTTAATGCGTACAGAAGACGCACAATTTCCGCCGACGGCGTGGTTGGTGGTATCCTCGATATAAATATACGGCAGTTGTTGATCGAAGGGCATACACCTGCGAGAATACCGATATAGGTAGGTTCTTTTATTATAGATTTCATTCATTCATATAAACATTTCTCTATATCTAAGACATTTTAGTCGCTCTAGGGAAATTCGGAATAGAAATGACTCGTCCTGAAATAACACCCTAATTAATAAAAAAGTAACATAAAATGTTACTTTTTACTACTTATCACTTACAAAGGCTCAGAAACCCCTTCAATTTTTAAACCGGTTATTCGCGAACCGAAAGGCCTTTCGGTTTTACGTTTCGGCTACATTCTTTAACCGGTTTAAATCCCGGCGGTTTTTGACGAATTTAGGTTCCATGATTAAAATTAGTCGAATAAAATGAGTTTATGTGCGTTTACATTCGTCGAATCTTCGATAATGGTAAATTGCGTAGTAGAAGGATACATTTTGTATTCTTGTATGTTATATGTAGCATACATAATTGTTTCTTAATCATGAATAAACTAGCGGCTCACCCTCGCTTCGCTGGGGTTCGTCCCTTATTAGTCAGCGTTACCCATGTAAGTTTTTTTTTCGTGTTTTTTTTTGGATATTTTAAGTTATTCTTCTATTCGGGGTGGAAACAAATCCAACAAATCAAAAACCATGAAAATCGGTTCAGCAGTTCCCGAGTTATACCTAAGCGTTGTAACAAAACAGCTTTTGTTTTATATAATATATAGATAGATTAACCGGTTTATTTCGGTATTAAAACCGAAATCCAACCTTTCGCTAAGAATAACCGTAAACTATTATAATTTCGGTTTACTAAACCGTTCATTTTCATTAACCAGTTAGAACGAACGACTTTTTACAACGTACGCGCCACGCTATTAGAACCACGCTCAAACATTAGTAAAGAAGTACTAAGTACAAACTTACGAAAATCAATAACAAAAAACCAACTACGATTTAATGGGTTTAAACCGTTCAATAGAGATTTTTCAGTACTTCAAGGTACTAAGCCTTTGATGGATGGAGTTTTTCTTCACGCAGCACTTACACGTTAACCAATAGGTATGCGATGCTAGTATAAACTTAAATCATAGTAGGTATAAACTGAAGAAGTAATAATTTTGAAATTACCTAATTGCCAAGACGGCCTTATCATGTAGTTGTTGAATAGGCGAATAGCGTTACCCGCTTCTGCCTCGGTCGTATACATTGCAAATGCGTACCTAAAATTAATTAGTATTTTGTTATAAAATCTAAGCAGTATGGAATCTCCAAGAAAAATTTGTGATAAAAACAATAATTCTGTAAATTTTGAAGTTATCATTACCCTCTATTCCAACCAGAAAAATTAATCATGAGACGAAATTCAAATAATTCGCCCGCCTGTCTAAAAAGAGGCACTAGTGTGTCTTCGAAGCAATCGTGAGGAATGCGTCCGATAAATACCTATGGAAAAATAAACGATGAGTTATAAATACATAGGTAGTATACAATGTTGTACCATATTTTAGTAAGACATTTTAAAGAAAATACGTAAAAATAATGTAAGTAATATTATATAGAAAGTTGAAAAATGTATACTTATTAGTAAGTATTTTTGTGCCTGAACATGTGAACGCAATAAAATGAACTAAACGTAGTCGCAATAATTAGAAATTGCTCGGTGTTATGTTTACTTTACCACATCTAGTTTATAGTACCTACTACCTAGTTCCAAAAAAGTGTAATAAATGCTTTGGATCAACAAGACGGGGAGACTCAATTAGATGGTTGTATATGGTAGATATTAAAACTGCTCACTAATTTCATATTAAACAGGACCAATGTGCGTTTTACAATTACAATTCGGTTTTAAAAGAACTTTTGATATTCATAGGGTACATGGAAATTCGTTTCGTAGAGTTCTTTGGCGGGTAAATTAAATACGGCAGAATTGTAAGTAGGTTTCTAAGATTTCTAAGAAAATTACCTCACAATTCCTCGATGGTTCTGGACCGCTCCAAGCATGTGGAGCCTTCCTATAGATTCTTTGACCATTAATTTGTGTAAGTGTATAAGATGTATTATTTTCTGTTAATGATAATAATCTTGATGATAATTCATACTGATTCACTTCACTTGACGAATAATGCTTTACGGAAGGCATTTTAATATATAAATTTAAATCTTATAATAAGTATTTGATATTTATTTAATATATTTAACAACTACGCGTGCCCCACTAAAGAGCAACAAAAAATGAAAGAACTAATAAGAAATCTATACTAAAATGGCGCATTCTAAACAAAATGGTGGTGCTTAGCAGTATCTTTATGACCTTGAAAATTAATCAACTGAACGTTTCTTTTTAAAACTCTCGTGAAAAAATCATATTTGTTAAATAAAAACAACATAGATGAAACATTGCAAATTGCCTATTTAAAAAAGAAATCTTAGTGCGTCTAGATCGATATCCTTAGTATTCATCCCAGCCGGAAATTGTTACGTTTTTAGTAAATTAATTAATTGTCCAACATTTTTAAGAATATCCTTTTAAGTTTAAATGTGTAACACTATTAAATGATAAAATATAATTTTTAAAATACTTTGGAAGTATAATTAAATACTTATTAAAAAACATTTGTATTTTACTTATTTATTTATCGTTTTATTTGAAACAAGAACAATATGATTAGTCTCTCATTTGAGATATTATATTAATTACAAGTATATTAATTCTTTTTATAAAATATTATACAAAATTTTTGTTTGTATGTTTAGGGAACATTTATTAATTATTATTTACCAACTCAAATATTTAATTTAAAAATTGTTCATTACATGGTTCCGTATGCTCTTGCCTGTGATTGGTAAATTTAGTCGTGTAACGTTTTACTACTTAAGCATTTCCGTCTACTTTCGAAATCGAAAAGTCTAATGAAATTCGAATTCCTTTTGAAATTTGAATGTTGTTAAATATTAAATAGAAAATTTTATTATACACAAATATAAGCAGATTTTTTTTATTTAAACAATTAAAAAATTTATGAAATATTATATATTTTAAAATGACAATGATATTAGGGTAACAACATTTATTATTACAAGAATTATATTACTTGATTTTAAATCTTCGTAACTTTTTCTGGAAATCTGTCGGGGATCTAAACTGTTTTTAAGTTGAATACGTAAGATATAAATACGTCGAGTTTTAACATTCATTTTTAATATCTGTTGTTTTGTAAAGAATTCTAACTTCTTCTGATTCATAAGTTTCATGACATTGGGACTAATCGCTGTGACAGCTTCTAATTCTATTGAGCTAATCTGCTGTTTAGGTATACCTGAAAATATTTGTAATTTTAGTAATTCGAAAATTTTCTATATATTTTTAAGCATTTTAAACACCTGTCTATGTTATTGTTTGTTGTTGTATAACTATAGACTATATGTATTGAAATAAATTATTTTAAAAATTACAAATGAACAATGTATTAAGACGTCCGATTTCATGGGAGGACCATTTGTAGGGTTCTCCATAAGCATTAGGTTGCGTAGCAATGTCATAAAGCGTCTGAAAAAAAAAATATTTCAGTATTATATTTATTTATGTAATTTTACATATTTACATCATATTACCTTTGTCTGCTCCACACTACATCTATCAAGTTTACCCAACACATCAAAAGTAAGTTCTTTAAAAGTAACAGGTGCTATTCTTTTTAGATCATTTGAGGGAAAAGCACACAGCAAGTAGCCTAACTCATTGATCTGAGCGCTACTTGTATACCAGTCATTACCATAATATCGCCTATAAGCAGCAGCTAAAATTCCAAACTATAGTAGAAACATTAATTATAATAAATACAAACTGTAACGATATATTTTAGCTCTTAGATAATTCTAAAATATTACTTTGCGATTGTTTAAAGCAACATATTGGTTAGCAAAATATTTGAAAACTGATGGATCCCCAAAGTTTACATAGTACAAATCTTCTTCTGGGATAACATTTAAAAGACTGCCAAAAGCTAAAAACTCTCTACCCTGAAGAAATGCTGCAGTTTTTCCATCTACAAAAGTTATTAAGTTTAAATGAATTGTACTGCATAAACATTATTTCCTGTACGCGATTTATCGTCAATCGAAAGTTGAAACCTAATTAAATTAAATGTTCTAAATGTTGATGTAATACCTACTTATATATTTTTTGCGATCCATAGCAAATTGAGACACGAAACCCTTATAATTTCATATCCATTTCGCCGTAAGTCATAAAAAAATTACTTGGAGATTATTAATAGTACTATAAAGCCGACTTTCTAAGATATCTCATGTAAACCGCTAGACAATGTCGTAGTCAAATTATGAAAAATAAAATGGGATGGCACAGGGAACTCCATACATATAAGTGATTGTACAAAAGAAAGGAGCTTTGGTATCATTGAATAGGAGTTAAAAAATGAATTAGATTTTTCTAAACATAATTAGTGCTTCTAAAGTTGTAAGCGTTGCGTCCCGCCTCTTCCGACTTTCAAAGTAGAAGATTAAAAGTTCTGAAAAGATTCCCAAGTGCTTTGAAATTGCTTATGATTCTGAGATGTTGAATAAATTAACTTTAATTTTTATAGAAAAAATTAAATAAAACTCATTTATGCTATCAACAAAACTAATATTGTAAATGAATAAATATTTTATTTTAATTGAAACTTAACAAATAATGTAAGTTAAAACATAACTTTTGATTAAGTTTTATGAGCCTGAATATCCTCGGTAAGGCGCAAGTTAATGTTCAGACTCGCACTTTTTCGATTTTTGGGTACATAATTCATTGTGCCATGATAGAAGCAAATGAAAAGCTGAAAAGTTAATAAAATATATACTTGTACTTAATTACTTACCAGTTATAATATCCCAGGCTAACAGAGCTCTAGATATTGGTATTAAATGTTTCTTTGTATTTGTCAATATATGCAGTATTGATTCTGCGTCCAGTCTCATGAAAGAACTTGATGGACCAAAAAATATCATATCCATTGAATTTTCAAATTTAATTCGATTATCCACTTCATCATAAAATTCATCATAAATTATCTCGTCTGTAAATAAGATTTATATGTTACCATGTCTTTCGTGATCATATTTGCTGTACCTAAAGCTTTCGAAATGTTAGGCATAATAAACCCAAATAAAATCGTGGAAAATGTGAAAAGATAGCTTTATTTAAAATATTAGCGACTCGCCTTCCCTTCGCTTGGGTTCCTCCCTAGGTACGTTTTAATTTTTTTGAGCCGAACCCTAATTCTTTTTCTAAAATAAAAATAGCCTATGTTTCTCCCTATAACATCAGCTATCTTGCAGTAAAAGTCCCGTCAAAATCAGTCCACCCATTTCAGAGATTATCCGGAACAAACAGACAGACAAAAATAATATAATAGATAAAAATTTGTGTTTTTCTTAATACCGTATAAAATTTCATATGCATTTAGTAAAACGCTGTTATTTTGACGTTACAAACAGACACTTCAATTTTATTTATCTGTATAGATAAAGTACTACAAATCTTATAAAATGTGAATTTTTAACTTTTTTAAATTGAGACGAAAACTATTTCTAAAAATTTGTGCTGAGGCAGTGAGTTCACTATACCGAAAATCCTATGGCATAAATATCTGCAAAACTCATATATGTATAATATTTTTGAATTTTGACCAATTTTGTTAAAGTGTCGTTTTACTTTTGGGGGAAAACTAAAGAAAGAAAACGTGACAAGCATTCGGTTTTTTTTCTTTGTAAGTGACATGCAGAAATAAAATTGAATGTTAATGTAAAAAATCTGATAATATTAGTAGTTTGTTAATCTACGTATATGATTGCAGTTTATGAGGGTTCGAGTTCTGGACTAAAAGAGTTATTGATTTTTTTTCCTAATATGAATTTTAGGTAGCAGTTCGAGTTAATCCAAGCATTGCATAGCAGGTAAAGTGCGTGTACGAATTTGAATAGTAAATGAAGGAATATTTATAGTATACTATCAAGGTTTTGTCGAAATGCCATCATGTTTGACTAATGAAATGAGATGGCTGCTAAAGAAAATCAATAAAAAAATCAATTTATTTAGAAATAAATACAAAAGTTCTTTGCATGTACCTGTTTCGATCATTGCTATCATAGAGTTCCTTTCATCTTCATATTTTAGTTCTAATTCTTCTAGAGATTGAGTTTGTACTTCTTGATTAAAGGCTCTATTCGATTTAAAATTGAAATATAACTTAATTATTATGTATAATATAATTGTTAATTAAAAATATCGTTTGTACTGTAAATTGGAATCTATGAGAAGTCGGACTTAAGTTTATCATGAGCTTAAAATAACTCCTTTATTACAGAAAAAACAGCTTATGTTCATTTATATTAAATGCAATAAATGTAGATACATATATTTTTTGTCCTTTTAAATTTTACCGGGAAGCCACCCTATTAACTAAGTAGTTTCTAAACAGACTAACCTTATATATTTTATATATAAAATTAATAATAATGTAATAAGCATTTTATGATAGTTTCATCACAACATAAACTATTTATATATGTAGCAATATACTCTATGATAAACTATGTAGAAATGCTACGCACATCACAATAATCGAGTGGGTCTGATAAAAAAAAATATTTTTACATAAATGTAATGAAGTCATAACATTTATGTAAAAATATTTTTTTATATTTTATTCTTTAAAAGTTTACTTTAAATTTGTAGTAACAAATATTTTTGAAATTAATTATTGAGCTCAAACATTTACAAAAACATAAAATGCTACTTTAGATTTATTTATAATCTATATTATGTTCGCACATCGCAACCATTTGCTGTCAATTTAAAAAAAATACTGACATGTTGACATCACTGAACTGATAACCTAACTTTTTATGTTAAGTTAAATATTAATAATTAGGCACAAATATATGTGTTAAATTAATTTTAAATTTGTATGCCTTACATCGAAATGATATTTTTATCGTAGCAATATTTTAATAAACGATAGCATAGTGAATTTTATTCTAAATTGTGTTAATTTGGCATTGTTAGTAACTTTAATAAACCATGGGTATTTTAGAAAAGATTTCAGAAATTGAAAAAGAAATAGCAAGAACACAAAAGAATAAAGGTACTGTATACTGTGAAATTATTCTTAACGTTATTCATATTAATTATTAGCTAATAAATAAATGCTCGGGTTACTTTTTATTTATCATTTTTAATGTATTAACTTGTTTATATAAATAATCAAACCTTTATAGCTATATTAAGCGAAAAAATCTATATTTTTTATTTACTGCAGTATAGTTTTATTTCCTTGATAGTACAAAATACAATATGATCGTACAAACACTGTTTAATCTGAATTTACATAAGTATTATATTTACAGCTACTGAATACCATTTGGGTTTACTTAAAGCAAAATTAGCTAAATATAGATCCCAATTACTGGAACCTTCTAAAAAGGGTGGTGATAAGGGAGAAGGTTTTGATGTGTTGAAGTCTGGTGATGCCAGAGTTGCTCTTATAGGATTTCCATCAGTTGGTAAGGTAAGAAATTTGTACATGTATTGTGTATGTCATTTAAGTATTTACTTTTGGTAAATAAAAATTTTGTAAATTTTCTGACAAATTATAAAATCTATAAAGCTTAATTATTTAAATAAACTATTGAGAATAGTGCATAAATACTACTTATCTAAATTTATGAATACTAAATATTATATTTTAGGCCACTTGCATCGAGACATTTATTTGTTTTATATGCATTAAACAAGTATGTGATTTATTTGAAACCAATTTAGAATTTTTGTGTGGATTTTTAGTAAATCTCTAAAACTGAACATAAACTTAAAATAGTATTGTTGTTTTAAATGACATTTACTATATTTTCTTTATTTTCAGTCCACTTTACTATCAACATTAACACATACTCACTCGGAAGCAGCTAGCTATGAATTCACAACTTTGACATGTATTCCCGGAGTAATTGAATACCGTGGTGCAAACATTCAGTTACTTGATCTGCCTGGTATCATAGAAGGTGCTGCCCAAGGCAAAGGTAGAGGAAGACAGGTAATAAAATTAATATTTAAAATGTATAGGCTATGAAATTATTTCAAATTTAAAGAAACAAGTTACTGTATTTAATAAGTTTCAATTTAATATTTACATTGTTAATGTTACACTTAAACTAATGTAATATTATATGTTAGAAACTCTCGCTACACAATTTTTAACGTATGTGTGTTTTAAAATAGTATATCTTAAGTCCACTACCAAATCCTTCTGCATTTTATTTTACAAGGCAACTAACTACAAATTACTTCTTTAGAGCTTTCTTTACAAAAACTTTAGAAAAATCAAACTAAGTATTTTAACAATACACTGAACATTTATTGCAAAAATATATAAATATAAATTGCTATTAATTTCAGGTTATTGCAGTAGCAAGAACAGCTGACTTGGTACTGATGATGCTGGATGCCACCAAACCTTATGTCCATCGTCAGTTGCTAGAGCGTGAGCTTGAAAGTGTGGGCATACGCCTCAATAAGAATAAGCCTAATATATATTTTAAGGTATTAAACATACTAAATATATAATCATCAATACTAAAATCTAAAACTTAATTTCTTAGTATTGTTACTAGTTCTACTATATTGATAAATATAAGGTTAATTTTTATAATTTTTATTTAAAATATTTGTTTATATAAAAATTAAATTTAATGAAAAATTAAGAGAAATATATTGTTGTTATGCAAAGTAATTGATATATGAGTGTTATTGTATCCATTTTATTTAAATAAAAACAACTATTTTGTTATTTATAAAGATTTACGATTTAAAATCCTCAGATAAAGAAAGGTGGCGGACTATCATTCAACTCCACGTGCCAACTCACTAAAGTAGATGAAAAGATGGTCCAGATGATTTTGCATGAATATAAAATATTTAATGCTGAGGTAAGATTTCATAATATAATGTATTATTTTATAAAATGATTCCATACATTTTTTTTTTTTTTAATTATTATTATTGACAAATTCTGATTATCTGTGATCATGATATATATGTATATAATGTATGACATAACATTTTGTGATTATATGATTAGAAAAGAAAAAGTTGAATGACTTATTAACTTGGCATTCTTATTCAATAGTTCCGAACAAAAGAAAATACATAATCCTAATTAGTGAAAAAAAATGAACAGGTGCTATTCCGCGAAGACTGCACGCCGGACGAACTGATCGACGTGATTCTCGGCAACCGCGTGTACCTTCCCTGCATCTACGTGTACAACAAGATAGATCAGATCTCCATACAGGAGGTGGACCGGATAGCCCGCCAGCCGCACTCCGTGGTCGTCAGGTGGGTTATTGTCATTTGTCGTGGAATGTAAAAATATTGTTCTTTGTCACATGTCAAGATATTATGTTCTATGTCACGTCATGTTCTGTGTGACGTGATATAGATATCAAGTTATTAACAATAAAAAAAAATAGGATAAATATTATAATATTCTAATGAAAAAATATTAATATTACTATTTTAGATTATATTTCAACAATAATCATGTGACAATGTACGTCTATAATTTTGAAATAAAATGCTTAAAATTATTTTAATATTCAGAATATACTACAAAAATTTTAAATGTGTTTGCTCATGCATTTTTATTGCAAAATAATTGTAACAAGACATAATATTAATTTAACTAATGAAATAGATGTAATAATATTTTTTTTCAGTTGTAACATGAAATTGAACCTTGACTTTCTACTGGAAACACTGTGGGAGTATCTTGCACTTATTCGTGTCTACACCAAGAAACCCGGCCAGCCACCAGACTTCGATGATGGTCTTATTCTAAGAAAGGTATATTTAATCATAGCACAATATATTCAGTGTTGAGGTGCACACACAACACAATTATATTACCACTAGCAGCTCACGCTCGCTTCGCTCGGGTTCGTCCCTAGGTACGTTTTAAACGGTTAGTATAGAATAGATAGATTATATATTAAATAATCTTCCGCGGTAAAAAGTAGCCTATGTAACTCTCCAACCTTCTTACTATATCCACACTAAAAATCACGCCAATGTATCACTCCGTTTCTACGTGAAAGAAGGACAAACAAACACACTTTCACATTTATAATATTAGTATGGAATATGATTATTTATGCAAAGTTTGTGTGGATTTGTGATTTCTCCACACTGAAGTGGCTGGATGGATTTGGATGAAAATTACTGGTAGACATTACCTGGAGTAACACATAGGCTACTGTTAAGTTTATGCTTAGGGACAATATATTATCTAATTTAAATAAAACTATCTTTTCGGATTTTTTCGCGGGTTTATTTAGATTTTTGGTTCCCGAAGTTTCGAATGATTTATAGCAATCATGGTCACGGGAGAGTCCCAAAAACCAAGAAGATTTTTATAAAATTGTGGGTAGGCACTGTCTGTAACATGTATATAACGCTTTTGAGATGTCTATAACCTTAGTCTCTCCCGTGACCATGATTGCTGTAAAGCATTCCAAACGTCGGGAACCAAAAATCTAAATAAATCCGCGAAAAAATCCGAAAAGATAGTTTTATTTAAAATGCCAAATATTCTCGTAAATCTAAGAAATTTCTCTATTCTCAAAAGTATTCCCATAACAATTTCAATAAAAAATTTACAGCTAAAAGTAAAATAATTACTATAATTAAAAATATCTACTCTTAATCCATATAACATTAAATTCCCCAGGGTGTGACAATAGAGCATGTGTGCCACTCCATCCATCGCTCTCTGGTGGCACAGCTGAAGTATGCACTTGTGTGGGGCACCAGCACCAAGTACTCTCCGCAGAGAGTTGGCATCTCGCACTCCGTACACGACCAAGATGTTGTTCAGCTCATCAAGAAGTAACCATTGGATATTATGATAACCTGCGTTGACCAAGTCTATCCTAATACTAATACACACCTATGACCCTTATTGTAAATTTAGTTTGAATTTGGCTTTATTTTTACAGACCCAAAGTGAAAATAAAATTATTTTAACGTTTTCAAATGATATTTGCAAAGAATTCAAAATTATCTATCCATTGTAAGAAATATTCTATACATTGTCTCTTAAACATTTTCCAATTTTCTATTAAAGAAATATTGATAGCATTTATATCCATTTAAGTTTCATGTGATGGCTATTTTACTTTTATAATATCAAAAAATACTAAATCGTTTTAAAAAAAAAACCTTAAGTGAATAGTTTCTAGGCATATAATCATTTTCCGCATATATAAAAAACAAATTATTTTTTTACTATTAAACGTAACAGGGCTCGGAAACACATTCAATTTTTGAATCGGTTTTGGTCATTGATCCCAAGTCGAAAGGCGTTACGGTTACATTATTTAACTAGTTAAATCCGGTATTTTTGAGAAATACAGGTTCCATGAACAAAATTAACCAGTTAAAATGAGTTTTTGTTCATTTACATTTGGTATGTCTTTGCTAATGGTGAATGGCTTAGTAGTAGGACGCATGCACGTTTCTTACTTATGGATTAATTTTAACTGGTATATTTTGGTATCAAACCGAAATCCCACCTTTCTCTAAGAATAACCGTTGTGTTAACCATTATTATTTCCGTTTACTGAACCGTTCGTTTTCATTAACCAGTTAAGGAAAGAGCAATGAATTAACCATTACATTTACGAAATAAACCGTTTTTTTAAACCGCTTCCGAGCCCTCAAACATGCAAACAAAATAACAGCAATGAAGTAAAATTCAAATTTAATAGTAAAAAATTATCTTATTGTTTATTTTGTGCCAAGTCATCATAAGACTTGGTTTGTGAGATGGGTTTATTCACTATCAAAATATAAATTGTTGCAATAAAACTATTTATTAAATTTTTAATTGTGTTTTATTTTTATTTACATTCCTCAACTTAATTTTTGTATAAAATTGATGGATATTATATATTCTTATTAGATAATGGTTTTGTAATAGATCTATATAATTACATTTATAAGAAATAAACAACCTGTTTTTACTTAAATTATTTATTAATATAACCCATACAATCCTTTTGATAATCTTACACATTGCCACCATATCAAATAAATACACTTTGATCGAAGTATAACAGCTTCTAATAAATATAAAGTAATAATTTAGCAAACAGACTTATTGGATACTTGAATTTGAAATATATAATAAAGTATAAATTATTCGTTTTCTAGTAAGTTAACAATTAAAGAGTAAATAAAAGTAAGAACATAATGGCTTGGTATTCTTAAATCGTTGTTAACATTTTAAAAATTCAGGGCAGTAAAGGCGAAAAGTTTAAAATATACACAAGTTTTATTAGCAGACAACATTATGTCAATAATTATTCCTAGATAAATTTTAAAATAATATTCTGTTTGGTAAAAATTACATTTATATTTAAAAAAAACTCTTTTTACTATGCCTTTTCAGCTAACACATCAGCTTCTACATTAGCAAGAGCCCACCGATGCTCTGTGATCTCTAAGGCTTCCCATTCTGCTTTGAAGGCAGCTTTGGGATCTGGAGGCATTGCCATTGCAGCCCCGGACATTTGTTCTTGCATAACTTTAGACTGATCAGCAGCTGTAATAATTAAATAGTGTATAAAGCAAAACAATCCCTTTAACTTATTTAAATATTTTATGTCAGTGGTAATCTTGATTATTACATTGATTTAATTTTAATAATTTGTCTTTAAGTATTAAGACTATAGAATACAGTAGCTACATTCATAAAAGTATCAACACTTAATGTTAAACATGCATATAATAATGTTTTGCTACAGTACTGCTAAAGAAATAATTTAGAAGTAAGGATTGCACTCACAATTATTTTCTCCCAAAACCAAAGCATATATTGTACGCAGTCCAAAAACATTAAGAAAATACCATGACGCTGAGGACACCCATGATGCGTCTAGGTATGCAAGTTCCACACCACGCTGTAACATTGGCTTGAAACGCAGTGTCAATGGGAATGGAACTTTTGCTGTAAATTTTACAAAAACATTAACATTCTGAATTGTAGACTATAATAAATAATGTCTGCCACAGTAAGTTATTTTGATTATGACAACCAATCTTGATTTAGATTAGCCCACTCTATGCGACAACACCAGTTCACTCTCTATGACTCTAACCTTTACATTCTAGTGGCATGACAATTCATCGCAAGTGGATGTATGGAATGTAACAGATTGATAGATTAATAAAGATCTTTTCTTTAGGATTGTTTCATTAAAAACACAATACACAATTATGTTGAATGTATGCTTATGCATTATTTGAATATTGCTCTTAAATGATTTGATCCTTATTATGAAACATACTAAATAAAGTTAACAAAAAATAGTATAAAAACGTTTTCAAAAATAAATTTGTTAGCTTTACTTGTCAAAAAGCCACTGAACATCCAGTTAATCCAACCACCAATTACAATCATGGGTAGCACATTAGTCACATTTCCCTTCAACATATCTGTCATCATGCCTGGATCTGTCATTGGGTTCTATAACAAAATTTTGTTATTAACAGAATAAAACAAACATTTTTTTTTATTATAAGGACCCACAATTAATTTATTATTTTATATAAATATAATAGTTTCTTTATGTACTTCTATAACTGTACATACTTTGTTTAGTTTGTAACAATTTGATAAAAATAAATCACATTTACCTGGGAAGCAGCTGCTCGTTTTTGGACTTTAAAATATCCTGTATCCTCATTATTAAACCAATGTCGACGCATAGCAAAAGACTGTTTTGGCAGATACTTACCATTTTCACGAAGTAAACGAGCCCGAATCATTACTTGGCTAAAAATAATTAAATTTTAATAGTCATTTACAATAAGTAGTAAATCATTTTATTGTATAAATTTATACCTGTCCTGAACTTGTAATAGTTCAATTTTCTTTTGAGAAGATAGTATAATCGATACATAGTGCCTTACTATTCCAACGAGGAATGTAATGATTACTATAGGCAAAAACACCCATAACCGTATATTTGGATCCAATAATAATTCTGTCATGTTTAGGTTACAGAAAAATATTTCACTCTCTCAATTCTCAAATAAAAAAATTAGGTAGATCACTTCAATAGCCTGTAGGTACCGAAATCCTAAATCTAAAATTAAGTGACAACTGACAATTACAAATGACAATATTAATTTTTATGTGCAATCTGTCATTTCGTTATAGAATATAGTTTAGGTGAGGGTTCAGGGTAGAAATAAGGAGAACCAACTTTTATGGGAAACAAGTTGAAAGTGTCCACTAGTGGTGAGTAGCAATTCAGATTGTAGTTCAGAAACTCACCGATATAGCGCTAGCGTAGCAAGTAGATGTGATGTGAAGTTAGCAGTTTTAAACGGAGTGAAGTGTGCTGAATTTATTTTGTAATTATATTCTATACAGATTCATTTTCAATTTAATGAAAACCTTTTGGGATTATACTATTTATATCATAACAAAAACATCTGTAACAAGAAAAAATAATATTTCTTAAATTTTTATTTTCATACAAAAATAAAAATATTTTTATTGCACCTTCTAAAAGGTAAAGTTCAAGCATCTGGCCAACTTTAAATGAGGAAGGGCCGCTTTCTAGACCCCTCCACCGGTCATGCGCTTTCTTTTGCTAATGTTGGACCGTTTAGAAGGTCAATAAAAATATTTTTATTTTTGTAAAATTTAAGAAATATTTATTTTCTTACAGATGTTGTTGATATGATGTAAATAGTACATTCTCAAAAGGTTTTCAGTAAATTAAAAATGACCCTGTGTAACAGTGTTCGCATAGGTTAGAAGTAACTATTTTGAAAAGTGCGTCACAATAAAGCGGAAATCTTTCTGTCCTTCTTTAATTCACCATCTTACTTTTAGGGCTTTTGGCGCTATGTTTTAAATTAATCCATTTGTATTCTGTGCTGCCACTGATGGTTCTGCTGTAACACCCAGCGTCAGCTCCAGGTGCTCCCCACCTTGACATTTCAAGTCTGTTCATACTCGTGCTTACAGTTCATACTTGCTAGTGCGCGCTCTATAGCGTTATTAGTTCTTTAATCTGTGTCTATTGCTTATGTATTATACTCTAAGCCTAAAGGTTCTCCTTATTTCTACCCTCCATAGACCTACCCTACCCAAGCCTGCAAATTTATGATATTCGCAATGAAAAAAATACTAATCGATAGATTTTTAATAGCTCAATTCAACTACGTAGCCCTTCCAAATTGCTCACCATTAATTATAAAATTAAAAATCAATAAAGTCCTTGAAAAAAAATTAATTTATCCGTATATTCAAATTTCTATATCTTTTGATATATACAATATTTTAAATTGCTCAAAGTTCTAAAATACTGCTCAAGTTGCATTTGTAATTGCTCAAGTAGAGTTCTCACCAGCTCCACTTTCCTTAATTATTAAATAAATATAAATAGTTTGAATAAATTTAACGTATAGATAGGTGAGTGCTGCGCATGCGCGCAAACAGTAACGCGAGTCGCAAGGCAAAAAAATCAAGTGTTTCATAACCTCATCATAGTGAAATGAAACTGTAATACTCCAAGCACAACATCATCTATTATCAGGTATTTTTATTATTTATTGACTTATTCATTATGTTCATTATATTCAATAAAAATACCTGATAATAGATGATGTTGTGCTTGGAGTACTACAGTTTCATTTCACTATGATGAGATTATGAAACACTTGATTTTTTTGCCTTGCGACTCGCGTTAGTCGTTACTGTTTGCGCGCATGCGCAGCACTCACCTATCTATACGTTAAATTTATTCAAACTATTTATATTTATTTAATAATTAAGGAAAGTGGAGCTGGTGAGAACTCTACTTGAGCAATTACAAATGCAACTTGAGCAGTATTTTAGAACTTTGAGCAATTTAAAATATTGTATATATCAAAAGATATAGAAATTTGAATATACGGATAAATTAATTTTTTTTCAAGGACTTTATTGATTTTTAATTTTATAATTAATGGTGAGCAATTTGGAAGGGCTACGTAGTTGAATTGAGCTATTAAAAATCTATCGATTAGTATTTTTTTCATTGCGAATATCATAAATTTGCAGGCTGGGGTAGGGTAGGTCCTCCATAGACTCGGATTAAGGAGACAGACCATAGAGCATGTAACCCTTTGACAGACTACACTTTGACTACTCTATTTAGTCTGTGTTGATGGTAACTGTATAATTTAAAATAAAAGTTTATTTACAAAACACGTTTAAAACAGTTGAGACTTGCTAATGGATATCAATCATCATATCAATATATCTAACAAGAAAAATTGAATATTGATTGATATATAGTCTATTTGGCAGGGCACATCCTATAAAAAAAATTAGTCGTGTTTTTTTTTAAATATTATCATGCCTCGTAAAAATATTAAAAATGTATCAGCCGTATGTAACATAGTAAATAAAATTCCTTTAAATACAAAAGAAAGTGTAGTACCAAAATTGGAAAATGAGCAGATCGATATGAGTAAAAAAAATGCCATTGATTTAAGTAAATTCAAATTTGAAAAGAAACCTCACGTAAAAATTGAGTTTGAAGAGGATTCTCCTACTAAACAGGTAATATAAAAATATTTTTATAAAATATTTTTATGATTTAAATGCAATACTTGAAGTATAATACTATACTATAACATCCCAAATTTTCCCCTAATTAGGAATCTAAAGGTCTCTGGGAACCATCTAATTGGAAAGATTTCTTAGTCAACTTAAGAATAATGCGGTCAAATAATGATGCTCCTGTAGATTCAATGGGTTGTCACATGTCTATGGATGAAAGTGCTCCACCAGAGGTCAGTTCCACCATTCTAAAAATACTTTAAATTTAAGCCATAATATGAATTATTTGTTCACATTTTTTATCACATTTATAAAATACTAACATTTATAAAATTTGTTGTAGTAAAGTTAATGTGTTAATATTATTTCGTTTACAGGTAATAAGATATCAAAGTTTAATATCCCTTATGCTGTCAAGCCAAACCAAAGACCAGGTTACATTTGCAGCTATGGAACGTCTAAAAGCAAAGGGACTTACCGTTGATAATGTATTATCTATGAGTGATGAAGAACTAGGTCAACTTATATACCCTGTCGGATTTTGGAAGGTATTTTAGTGTTTATATTTGTCCATTACTATTTATAATAACTAGGTATTGTTAAAGAGTAAAGATTAAATTAATTAGATCTTAAAATATTACATTTTTAAGTAATTTTGATAATCTACTTTTTATGCTCTTTGTACAGACAAAAATCAAGTATATAAAGAAAACAACACAAACTCTAAAAGACCAATATAATGGTGATATACCAGACTCTGTTGAAAAACTTTGTAAGCTGACTGGAGTTGGACCCAAAATGGCTCACATTTGCATGAAAGTTGCATGGAACAAAGTTACTGGAATAGGTAAAACTGTCTTAAGTATAAAAATAATCATGTATTCACTAGGATATTTATGAAAATTCAATATTCCTGTATTATATTGATAATATGTAAATCTTTTACTTACAGGAGTTGATACTCATGTTCATAGGATAAGTAACAGAATTGGTTGGGTTAAAAAACCTACTACTACACCAGAAGACACTCGTAAATCATTACAGTCATGGCTGCCTTTTGAATTATGGAGTGAAGTAAACCATTTAATGGTTGGTTTTGGACAAACCATATGCTTACCAATAGGTCCCATGTGCCATGAATGTTTAAATAGAGATATTTGTCCTTCAAGTGATCAAGGGAGAAAATCACCTAAAAAATCTCCCAAGAAGTTAGAAAAAAATGAAAGTGAAAACATAGAATCAAATAAATCATCAAACAAAAAGTCACCTGGTTATAAGAAACTGCTTAATATTGAAAATGTTAATGGAAGTAGTGGACTTCCAATCAAATCGCCACATAAAAAGTGTCACAGCATCAAAGAAGAAATAAAAATTGAACCACTAGATGATAATGCTATACTGTCAAAAGACCTATTTTGTCCAGAATCTCCTAAATCTGTGATAGATATTAAGGATGTACCAGAACAAAATAAAAAAAATACTAGAGTTATTAAAAAAGAAATTGGTTCTTCTGATGTAAATTTAAAGCAGGAATTGGAAAGTAAACAAATAGATATTGATGAACGAAGTAAAAGCAACTTAAAAAGAAAATCACCTAGAATAGCCAAGCAAAATGTCGTATCTAAAAACAAAAATGTTACTAACACATCCCTGAAAAAAAAGAAATGCTCTAAGAATGATTAGAGTTTGTTGTTGTGTATGTATTATTTTTTAAGTGTTTTAATTCCATTACAATTAATAATAAATTAAAAAATACTCTTTTTTAAATTGATATATTAATGCTTTAATTAAATTTGTTTAATTTTAATGTTTTTTCTTATGATTCTTCTTTTTGGCTTTTTCTTTCCGCTGATCTGATTTAACCTTTTTCTTTTGTTTTTTTCTATTTTGTATTCTCTCAAGTTTTGATTTCATCTGGTAAACTTTACTTTTTTGCAATTTCTTTGTTGCTTGATTTTTAAGTATTTTTTTTACTTCTCTTTTGGTTTTTAATTGCTCTCCATCTTCCTCTTCACCTGCTGTGTTGTCAGAATTGTCTTGTTCATGTGAACTCATGCCAGGAATTTCATTATTTAATTTAATGTTTGTGTTTGCTTTTACTTTTTTATTTTCTAAATTTTCCTTAGGCCTATTTTCTCCAATGACTATGTCTTTTTTCTGAAGAGTTTCTGATGAAAGTTCTACAATCTTAACATTTACATCCTCATCTTCATATTCTTCTTGAAGCAATTGTTCTATGTCTGGAATAGGACGACTAGATACTACAAGTTTTTTGTATGATTCTTTATTCTGAAACAGAACAAGTCATATTTGATTTGTGATATTAGAAAAATAAAATTTAATAAAAACAAGTGTATAGTAATGTAAATAAACAAAAATAGTCATAATGTAATACCTCTTGCTTAATTCGTCGTTTTTCTTCCTTTAACATACGTTGAAGTTCCTCTTGAGCTTTCTTTTTCCTTTCTAATTTTCTTTTTCGGAATCCACAGAGAAAATCTCTGTAAATATATAAATACTCAAATTAATATGTTTAAAATAACAAACTTTTATGTTTTAAATAAAACTATAAGTAAACGTACTTTCTCTTGGCTTCATCGAAAACTAAACTGACTTTCTTCTTCTTGTCATTATTTTTAATTCGTTTCTTTGCCATAATTTACAATTCAATTCCTTGTTCTGTGAATTTAGAATTATAATAATTTTTAATAACAACTTTGTCTTTAACCACACGACAATAATGTCAAACTCATTACTCATATCTCACATTTCACCATATAACCTAAAAATTGACAATGTCACTTTGACATACAGATTACAGATCATGAATGACCAAAATACAGATGAGAAAGAAATTATGTAGGTAGTTTAATATTTTTACTTGCTATAATTGATTCAGGAAGTTTCTTGTAAACTATAGAAAATAGTAAAAAAACTTTACGTTAACGAAAATTCTATACAAAGTTAATAATGATTTTGTAATATAAATGCCATTGTTATAATAATGGGGAACAATTTTGTCTTTTGCTCCCACCAGATGTCGCGATCGTTATAGTCATAATGTATTGTAAAGCGTTGATGGTTTTCTTTTTATTTTATTTAAAATTTAATTAAAATAACAACATTTGTTACCAAAATCAAAAACTGAAGAAATTGTGGGCTAAAGCAATAAGACGATTGAAATTGGCAAAATCACAATTTTTATGTTTAAGACTATGTGGACATCATTTTAAAGAAAATGATTTTTAAACTCTTAATGCGTCTACAGATGACATTTTTTTTATTTTTTGTACCTTTATACATATTACAAAGTTTCATACAATCTTTCATCCCGGGCATTTTACCCCCTTATGGAATTGAATTTCAGGAACATGATGCACCTCTCCTTCTCAATTCTTCCTTTAGCTGTTGTTCTAGTAGGTACAATACACAGGGCCGGATTATCCATAAGGCGGATTAGGCAACTACGTAGGGGCCCCGCATCGACTAGGGGCCCCGTGCACGCACCAAGAAAAAAGAACGTTCCATCGAACGAATTTTTTTACATTTTTATACTTCCTCAATATTATTCCTTTTTTTCGACGCATGTTGTCAGTTGCTGAAATACTTCATTTGACGATATAGGTAAGCTATTGAAATTCAAAAAACACCCAAACTTCAATAGGGAAGATGCTGGGTACTACCATCATAGTGGGATCCTATAATAAACATAATAAAATCTAACAACAAAAATAAACGTAACAGATTATTAGTAGTCCAATCGGAATCCGGTTTGGGAACAAAATATTGAAAACCTAAAGTTTTATGCTGTAAAGCATTCGAAACATCGGGAACCAAGAATCAAAATAAATCCGCGACTTAATCCGAAAAGATAGTTTTATTTAAAATGACAAATATTCGCGTAAATCCAAGAAAGTATGATATAATAGTAAGGTAAGTGTATACGGAACGCAGCCGGTGCGCGATCTGCTAATGAGTACTAAACTTTATTCACGTTGGGCGGGGAATCCCCGATTGGTTAGATGATATATTGGAAAAGGTCAACTTTCAAGATGCTTTAAACGATTTTGTACCTAAAAGAGTAAGAAGAGGTGCTATTTAAACTTATTGTACTTTATAAACTTTTTTTTCTTTTATTGTATTTTATTGTAGCATCAAGTGAAGGTAACCATGTCGTTGCAATCTATACTAATATTATAAATGTGAATGTTTGTGAGTATGGATGTACGGATGTTTGTTACTCGTTCACGTCAAACCGGCTGAACGGATCTGAATTGATCCAGATCACGATAGATTGTAGCCTGGAATATACTTACATTTTTATTACATAGGCTACTTTTTAGCCCGGAAAAATATACGGTTCCCGAAGGATAGATTTGTATTGTTTTTCTTGAGGCGAACCCGAGCGAAGCGACGGTGAGCCACTAGTATCACATAAGAGATTGAAATAACAGGATAGCAAAGGAGTCGATCTGATTGACTCAACTTTTGTAATAGAAAAAATGTATTTTAAAAAGTCAGAAAAGGGTAAACGCAAGGGGCCCCGAGAATTGCATTGGGGCCCTGGTAGGGTTAATTCGGCCCTGACAATACATTGTACAGGTAAGATGTGAACACAATAGAAGTAAAAAGCAGCTATAAAAATATAACTTCAGACGGAATGTAAATAGGCCATACGTGTAGCTCCTTCTTTTCGAGACATCTTCCCCATTACTAAATGACTTAGGTTTTATCAAAATTTTAATATAAATACTACAGTATTTGTTTTTAATGGCAACTATAGTTTAACTTGTTCTATTTGTAACAATTTTATATTTATATAAAGAAATTTTTAAAACATTAATTATTTTTATATATTTATATCATCAACTAGAAAATGAGCAAATTTTTGGCAAGACATCAAGAATTTATAATTCTTGTATGTGATTGGTGGATCCAGTCATCTTTTATTTTTTTTATACTCTGTTTTCCGCCAATCAGCACCCAAGTGCACAATAAAGACGGACTCATCGGCAGCATGGCTGTCAGTATATATTTGAAGCTTGAACGATGCGTTTCCTCTCGTCACGTTGGTTTTTTTTGTTTGTGCATATTGACGAAAATGTTATCGTGTATGAATTTCAGTGGTTTAAAGTGTGGAGAAATTTTGGTGCAGTGACGTGATGTAGTTTTTATTATGCAAGGTGAGAGCTCAAAGAAATTATTGATTATAGTAATGATAATGAAACAAATTATTATTATGAATGTTCATAAATTAAAAAATCGTAACATTGCCAAAAAATAATAACTAATTGTCATTTTTCCGATTTATTTTTATGATCAAAAGAATGTAAAAACAGTAATAGTTAGTGTTTCGTACGATTAACGTTGCGAATGAAATAGTTTTGGTAATCAATACTAATATAATGTACAGCCATATGTTAACATGTGTGTCTGTGTGAATGCTTCACGTTACACATACCGTTACTATTCCATTTCATTCTAGTAGACTGTTGTTTAAATTTATTACTAAAAGTAATTTGATTAGAATTATTAATATGGTATGAATCAAAATATTATAATTCGACAAAATATTCACCCTGCAAGCGAATGCGTTGATTGATGAAGTATCGATTTTTGAGTAGGAACCTGCGCTTTTCTATTGTTATGCAAATAGCAGTACCTATTGCTGTGAGAATTTAGTGCATATCCCAGTCTGTGACCTAATAAATTAAATCAATAGAAACTATCTTTATTGACAAATTTAAACCTAAATATTTTCGCGTTTCTTTTTGAGTTAAAGAAAGGACAAACTATAATAGAGTGACTTTTATTATATTTATGATGATACACAATAAGATTTCTACATACATTTATATATATGAACTTAACAATACTACTTATATGAGAAAGATATTTTATTTTCATATTAATTGCAATGATATAACTAAGACAGTAATAACAAATAGTATTAATATTTGTATTTCCTTCATATATACAGTATAATATACATGAGAATTTTGTATTAAATAATTAGAACATATTAACTATTAATTTACACCATTTTATTAAAGTAAGCATTACATTTTTCTTAACAATGCAGCATAATTTTATTATTAAAGAAACAATTTTTTTTATGACATTTTAATATATTTATATTTTTTTGTTAATTAAAATAAGACAAATAATTAAAAGATATGTAGACACTTTCATAATATATGTAGTTAATTTTGTCACTAGCTTATACCAAGTTATTAAAATTAAAAACAGTTTGTGTAATTGAGGTATTTTAAAATGGAGGAGTGCTCCGAGTATGATATTGCAAAGGATCTTTGGTTGAGTAAGTTTTTATTTCATTGAAGAAAAAGAAATTAAATAATCATATTGCATAACAATATTATTTTTGTTTTCAAATTTAACCTATTAATTTTATTAATAAGTTTACTCTTTACTACTTTAGCAAGCATATTTGCTCTGGATTTAATATAATTTATCCTTTAGTTTTCCCATGGTAAAAAGTATCCTATATATGTTGACCCGGATAACCAGCTATCACCATACCAAATGTCATCAAAATCCCTCCAGTGGTTTTTCTGTGATGCGGTAACAGACAGGCAAAAATTCTAAAAACTATAGATTAGGCCTCTGTATCGTACCATTATAGGTTCTTTATTTTTAAATAAAATAAAAAATGTGGATTTGTCAATGGAGTTTATATTTCAAGATAACATGTTTATTGACCTCAAAAACTACTGACGTTTTCAGAATAGGTTATCAGAGACATCTGTGTAATCTATCAAGATATTAGATACTTGTGGTGTCAATTGCAATATTTTTGGATCATTAGATCTGAATAAGAAATATTGACACAGAATCAATTTTTAATCTTTAAGACAACAAACACTTTGATAAAATAAAAATGTTTCTGCAATAAGAAACCAAAATTATGATTTGCCAATGTCTTAAACTTATTTTATAACTTCTCCGTTCTTACTTATTAAATATTGTATAAAATGCATTATGACTTCTTTTAAGGGGCTCAATATTAATCTAATAATTTATTTTGTTCTAGAGGGAAAACAAAAATATCTACGGTGACATCTGTTGAACAAAATGACTTCCCGGTAAGTTTAATTTTTTCATGTCATATTTCAATTATATTTTTGATGTTTTCTTGTGGAAAGTCTTAATGGAAAGTTAAAAAAAATAAATTAAAAATCCATTTTACTGTTAATTTATTAGACTTATTAGTACATAATGTCTCCATAAAAATGATCCAAATACCAGGCTTGTTATGTAGAGATAAGAATGTGTAAGAAGTATATATATTAAACTATAGGAACTATGTTTTCACATGTAGATAATCTGTTTTATTAATTAGGTACCTACTCTCAAGAACACAACATGAGACGCTACGATTTACGATATCATTTTAACTGCATTCAATTATAATTAGTGACATTTAAAAATATGTCGAGTTTACGCTGGCTGTCTCGTAACACTGACATCATATTATAGACTAGTAGTACACGCGGCTTCTAAAATATCATTAAAATCGTCCCTGCCGTTTAGGAGATGATCAATGGCACACCGACTGCAGCGCCACCTACCGGGTTCAATTGTATTTTCAAACCATCCAGGAGCCGATTGAAATATACACGCAAAATTTCATCCAATCGGTCTAGCCCTTTAGGAGGAGTAGGTTAACAAGCACACTTGCAGAAGAATTATATATATTGAGATTTGTAATTTGTATATACTGGTTTTGGTCATTATTGGGAAATTTCTATTTTATACATATAATAAAAGTGTAATTGATATGTATACTGTCTGTATATGGAAGATATTTGAGTAACACCATTACTTGAGGTCTTTATAAACACAATAGAATGAATTTTCGAATTTTTGTCTGTTTGTCTGTGCGGTAGAACGCTTTAATCTCGGAAATGGCTTAACCAATATAGGTGGGGTTTCACTAATGTATTGTGGTAAGCTTCACTTAACATTTAGTATTTGTTTTATTTCAATCGGTTCATAAATAAAAAAGTTATGTCAATAGAGACGAAACCGAACAAAACGAGGGTGAGTCGCGACTCGCGAGTATAATTTATTAAAAGCCTTTAAATTCAACAATTGTATGAAATGGGCAGATTTTGCCAGAATTTTATGAATACTATTTATTACCTACTCAGAAAAATATAGTCACTCTTTATCTCTTTTATCGGACGATGTGTTGTTTTATATACCTACCTACTTGTTTTTAAATTGCACCAGCGATTTAATAATAATTAATGAATGACTAAGCTCTTCTATCCGTTTGATAAGTTCGGAAGTCACCTCTTATGGTTAGATACTTCAATGGATTATACTATTTGATTATAAACTTGATATATTATTAGATCGTACTTGAGAGAAGAATAAAGCGATTTGTAATTAAGAAAGTGTTAAATTTCTATTTTCATATCATAATAATATTATGATAATAAATACGAAAGCGAGTTTGTATGATTTTTGTGTTATCATGAACGCATTATATAATTGTGATTGGCGACTCACCCTCGCTTCTTTTGTTTTATCCCTAGTTACATTACTCAGAGATGAGATATTTCCCCGCAGTAAAAAGTATCCAATATGTTGACCCGGATAACCAGTTATCATCATACCACATCAATCATCAATCTGTCCAGTGGCTTTTTTCGTGATTTAGGTACTTTCATTTCGAGGTGATGCGGTCACAGACAGACAGATAAAAATTCTAAAAACTATAGATTTGGCCTCTGTATCGATAATAAGGTCTATTTCAATAAGATTCTCCAAAAAATATTTAATATACTGATTCGGCTTAGTTAGAATTTTATTATATTATATAGGTATAGATATTTTGAATAGTATAAGTTTAGGAATGACAGTTGCTATCTTTCATCTTGATCCATTAAGTTGTTCCTGTAGCACATAATTAAATTAATTCAATAATTTAAATAAATAATTTATAAGATAATTAGGAAAATAAAAGTACATAAAATCCGGATCCATTTGTAAATTAAAACCTTGCAGGGACCCACTCGAACATACACAAAAAAAAATCATTAAAATCGTCCTTGCCGTTTAGGACATGATGAGTGGAGAACACCGACTGCACCTACTGGGTCCATTTGTATTTTCAAACCATCCAGAAACCCATTGAAATATACATTTCAACTAAATCGGTCCAGCCGTTTAGGAGGAGTTAGGTGACTAACACACGTACAGAAGAATTATATATAAATAATAATAAAGGTGCACTCAAAGACTCCACATAGTATTTTATATATTTTATATACAATCAACAACGTTACTGTGATTAACCTGAAGTGTAGTAAGTACTTAGCAAAAATAATCTAAAATATTGCACACATACAGAACAAAGAATATAAAGATATAAAAAATAAATAAATAGGTAGTTGGTTCAAGGTCTATCTGCTGAACCAATTGAAATATTAAGTAAATTTTATTCAGTGATAAGAAATCGCCAAGTCACATATCGCTCAAGTTGAGCACATTTCAAAAAATATTAATGAGTAATTTTATCTATACAGATATATAAAACTGAAGTGTCTGTTTGTAATGTCAAAATGACAGCGTTTTACTAAATGCATATGAAATCATATACGGTACTTATAAGAAAACACATTTTTTTTTTAATTTTTGCCTGTCTGTTTGTTTCGGATATTCTCTGAAATGGCTGGACTGATTTTGACGGGATTTTCACTGGAAGATAGCTGATGTTATAGGGAGTAACATAGACTACTTTTATTTCCGAAAAAGAGTTAGGGTTCCGCTCAAAAAAATTAAAACCTACCTAGGGACGAAATGAGTCGCTAGTATTAACTATAACTTCAACCTTTCCTCGGGTGCTTTCCTGGTCAACAAGTGTTGTCTGGCCTGAACAACAAACAGTAACCTATTATTTATTGCTCCAGGTTTTAGTCAAAACATTTCAGTCATTTTAGTCATTCAAAACTGTCAAGCCGTTTCAGCGTGTAACAAACTGATTAAATGTACTTTCGCATATTTTATAGTGGTCCGATGATCATTGCACAATATCTATACATATAATAAAAATCTAACTGATTCGAATCTATACATTAAATAAATATTTTTGGGAGAATCTTATTGAAATAGTCATTATTATCGATATTGCTGCCGAATGTAGAGCTTTTAGAATTTTTGTATCTCTGTCTGGTAAATTTGGTATGATGATAAGCGGGTTTCCGGGTCAACATATAGAATACTTTTAACTGCGGGAAAATATCTCATCTCTGAGAAATCTATACTAAACGTTAAAACGTAACTAGGGACGAACCCGAGCGGATCGAGGATGAGTCGCTAGTTCACAATATAAATCATTTCCAGACTAGATCGATTGTTTGTATTGCTGGAGGCGGGCGCGGGGGCCGCCACACGGCGTGCAGCCGCGCGCCAGCTCGGCGAGGTGCAGAAGGCCCACCCAGAGGAACTGCACCGATTGCTTGCACGCCTCACCAAGTATTTACGATCTCCGGCTTGGGAAACGAGAATTGCGGCTACACAGGTAAATACTCGTATGAACATGAACTCGTATGAAGCACTAGCGACTAGCTCTTACCGGTGGTAGGACTCTGTCAAGCCTGAGGAATCCGACTGGATGGGTACCACCCCTTATCTATTTCTCCCGCCAAGCAACAATGATTACACTGTTGTGTTCCGATCTGAAGGATAAGGTAGCCAGCGCAATTAGAGGCAAGAGGCATATCATCTTAGTCCTCACAGTGACAACGCACCTACGGTTCTGCATTTTTGTACCATAAAACCTAAGTGCATGAACCGTAGGTGTCATGGGCGACAGGTACCGCTTTCCATCAGGTAGGCTGTCTGCTCGTTTGTCACTGAGTACCATAAAAAAAAAACGCTTTCCCCTAGATGCTAAACAGTAGCCTACATGTATTCCAGATCTGAGTCCTAATTTTTTTCCTTATAATCTGTCCAGCGTTTATAAACGTATAAAGTGAGGGAGTAAAAAAACACATACAAACTTTCAGCATAAAAGACCGATTACAATAACGTCAGCTTCTCGTCATTGAAATTTAAAAAAAATATGTTTTTTAACAGGCTGTGGAAGCGATATTGACAAATGTTCCAGAATGGCATCCTCCGCCCTTTCCCCTAGTCAAAGGTAAACAATTTATATTACAAAGTTATGACTGTTTATGTTTGAGAATTGGATAGCGAATTTATAAAGAAACCAGTGAGGCTCCTAGTAAATTTATTGCAAAATTTTTATATCGCTGGGAGTTCTACCTTTATGCTATTAGCACACTCTTTAGCCATAAAAAACATCTATACAAAAACTACACCAAAGAACGACAAAACATCAATTAAACCTACAATAAAACTACAAATTTTGTCATCTAATTTCATCAAGACATTACATTCGCTATAAAAATGAAACGAGTAATAGCCGTTGCATCACTAACCATTTGAATACCTAAAAGTTTATTAATTATTTAAATTTTATATTATACTAGCGACATGCCCATCTTCATTTCGGTCGAGTGCGTCCCGAGGTGTTTTTTTTTTATAATTTTGCTTTATTTCACACAAATGTTAAGCAGCGCACACAGATAAATTAACTCAAAGGCGAGTTTTTTTTTCGACTTTGATGTAACGAGATGATTTCTGACAAGAGCAAATAAAGTCATTATTATTTTTGACTGAAAAATAGCCTATAGCACTCGGAAGCAATGTAATATCCTCTAGTAAAAGATTTCTTTAGAATCGTGTAGTTTCTGAGATTATTCTATACATCCAAACGTAAAAACTTTTCCTCTTTACATATTAGTGTAGAAACTAGAATGTAGATAGATTGATGGCACGGTCTTTTATGAGCAGAATTGATACTGAATGAAGTGTGAATTTTTCATAATAGCTTTGTAATACTTAAAAGGATACTTAGGCGGCAGATAAATGCGATACCATATCTTGAAAGAGTTTAAGTAATAAAGCGCAACGGCCCATCACATTAAACGAGCAAAATTAAGCGCAAAATGTATGTATGTTGTTAGTGTTTTTCATTCATTTTGCACTAAGGATAAATTTAAAATAACCGTCCAATGTTTTTATCAAGAGAGATAATATGAGAATCCTTTTATCTAAGAAATTATAGTAAACTCAGTGCAGGGCTGCCAGTAGAGCCAACTTATTTTATACCGCTGGATCACTCAAATTATACCAAATCAAATTTTATTATACAAACTAGCATTACCCGCGGCTCCGCCCGCGTTGAGATGACCAAAAACAAAATTCTTAGGTTTTATATATTAGTATACTCTCACATTGCAGTTTTTGTATTTTTTCTCAGAAATGAGACATTTTCTCACGGTAAAAAGTCCCGTCCTATATGTTGACCCAGATAACAGCTTTCACCATACCAAATTTCATCAAAATCCATCCAGTGGTTTTTCTGTGATGCGGTAACAGACAGACAGACAAAAATTCTAAAAACTATAGATTCGGCCTCTGTATCGATAATAATGTTTTATTTCAATAAGATTTTCCGAAAAATATTTAATTTACAGATTCGGCTTAGTTACAATTTTATTATATGTATAGATTAACAAAACCGTAGACAACTACTCTGTGACGAATAAATAAAAATCAATAAAAATATGTAATAACTTAAAATGAAATTTATATAAAATAACCATATTTTACAATTTTCGTATCCAATTATACGATCTGGCAACCCCGCTTATGTGCGAAGTTGATGCCGGATGAAATGGTTATATGTAGACGGTAAAGGAAAAACTTACTGATTAAGTCATTTTCCGCAAGTAATCGTCCTTGATAACTTTGAATTTTAAGTTCTAATTTAAATTATTTAAATGACAACGTCAAACCAAAATTTATAGTATGATTAAAATCTATTTTAAAATATATACAAAAATAACATTAAACTTTAATTAATAGTATAAAAAATGTTTTAAAATCTAAATGTGCATCATATTACAAGACATAATCAGAGACATATCATAAGACATATTCCGCGATAAACAATAGCATTCCCAAGGAGGGTTGACGTCAGGCAGGCGGCCGGTCGTAAAACTTTTGCCAAATCCTTTCAGCAGTACAGAGGATGTACTGCGCCGACCCCAAGTGATTGGGAAATGGGCAGGGAGAAGAAGAAGAAGAAGAAGACTTGCATGATTGTTACCAACAAATAGGTACATATAATTATTATTAGATGTAAAGGGTTATATAAAGTTATGTATGTAGTTACTTAAATTTTGCCTATTGTCGGCAGATATATAAGATTTATTATGCTTTTTACGTCGTTTTAGCCATTTTGAAAGTTTGTTCGTCTCGAATATTAAGCATCTGGCCGAAGTATGTGCCATAAGCACATGGAAACGCTCAGGTTGTAATGAATGTTGGTTTATGAAAATATTCTGTAAAACATATGTGAAAAACAGGTTTGCTATTACGACCAGTTTAGAAGGATTTTTATGTACCTTTAGTGTCAGCTAGCCGTCACGGCCCCGGTTACCCCATTCAACAGACCATTAATTTTCAAAATTTCAGCTTCGCCAATATGGCGTTCGTTTGGCAGTTATTCTTAATGCCACGATTTGTAAATTTATTCTTACGATAACATATCGTGCTTGTTACGACTTGCTTTTATTGGCGGTTATGCCGTAACGTGGTAGTTAAGTTTGATAAGCTTTGAAGCGTTTTATTGTGTAATTTTTTATATATAGTATGTATGTATGTATATCATTAATTTTTTAAGTCATTTCACTTTGTTCTTTATGTATGGCGTCCAGACATGGTCCAATATATAGATTATTATTATACGTATATTTAAATATTTCGTAAAGGAATTAAAACAGTATAATACGTTGGAATATAAGTATACTAGCGACTCACTCTCGCTCACCTCGGGTTCGTACCTAGATTCATTTTAAATATTAGTATAGATTTCTCAGAGATGAGATATTTTCCCGCATTAAAAAGTATCCTAGGTGTATTTATTATGTTGACACGGATTACCGGCTATCATCATAAAAAAAATCGTTAAAATCTGTCCAGTGGTTTTCTCGTGATGCGTTCCCAGACAGACAGACAGGCGGACAAAAATTCTAAAAACTATTGATTCGGTCTCTGTATCAATAATATTGACTATTTGTATATGATTTTCCAAAAAATATTTCATTTACAGATTCGACTCAGAATTTTGTTATATGTCTATAGATTGTTCGTAAACGAAAATTATTATTGCTCTTTATTACATCACCTAATTTTTTAAATTCAATTCCATATTACAAGCAAATGCTATACCTACTCAGGAAAATGAAGTCACTCTTTATCGCCTATATCGGACGATGCGCTGTTTTATATACCTGCTTTTAAATTGCATGCAAATATGTATTAATATATTCAATTTAAATTTTTTAACGACAAAATTTATAATTTCTTTAAACGGCTACTATCTTATACCTATATGTGAGTACCTACATTATAATACACAACCCCCTCCTACCGGCTTCACCCCTCATCCCTATAAAAGTGTCCAGTTTTATAGATTTTCTCAATTTCCAGGATAATTGGATCCAGTTATGCAAAAAACAGCCATGTGCGTAAAAATACCAACAGAGTTATAAGCATTTTATTATAAAAAATAAAATAATTATAAAAAATAAACAATCTTATATAAATATTGTTCAATTTTAAAATACCAGAAAAACAAAACATAACCCAAGTGCAACTATCGACAGAAAAATGCTTATAACTCTGTTGGTACTTTTACGCACATGGCTGTTTTTTTGCATAACTGGGTCCAATTATACTAGCAATAAGCAAGGACAAAATAGTCAAAGACTAAATTATTTATTAATAAATCATCTACAAATTCTAAATTTGCGGTTTTGCCTACACATTGAAATCTAGAATGAATGTGCAAAAATGATTTCCCTAGGACTACATAATAAAGGTTTCGTAAACCCTATATAGTGCGGATCCCTAATTAGATTTAGCTGACAGTCTAGTGTCTGGCTATAAAAATGTCTATGTAGTTCGTCACGTTTTCTATGAATTTATTGGACGTTGACAATTTGCATTTTGTTCATTTTATGGGCGTGTCGTGTAACTATAAAATATAAACGACCCATTCTAAACTCATTCTTATATTGAAGGAAACGTAAGGAAACTGAGCCGAGGAAAGTAAACTCCATAGGATTTCTGCATAGATACACAGCTAGAATAATATATTCTATAACTTCTATTATTCTATAATTTCTTAAATCGTAGAATTCATATCTTTTCCCTAATTTAAAAAATAGTGACAAAAAATAGTGTTTCTAAAATCTGTGTAAACCGAAGTGTTTACCGAAATTTATTCAGCGGTTTGACCGTGAAAACGGTAGTACCTAACAGACTACTTGTACATTTTAGCATTGACACTAGGTATAACTTAGGTTAAGTAATATAATAATTTTACTAAAACATAAGTATGTAAACGATACTTATTTATTTAAATTTTAAATATTTGAAAACAGGATATATAGGTCTAGTTACATAACGTTTTGATTGGCCTAGTTCTGGAATTGTCTACTTGTCTCGAGTCTCGACCTTGCCACTGCAATCGCAACAATCACTTAATAAAGCAAGCAAGCTTTAAATTTAGACTCGGAATAGGGTGGCTGACAACGCGACATGCATAATATTTTTACGTGTCAAATGTTTTTTGTATTTTAGGTGTCATATGCATTTACTTAAAAGTAGCTCAGTTTTTTCTGAACCAATAATTCGACAATATTTTCAGACTGAAGATATCTGATATCTTTAATGAATTAAAGTACATTTTATTTCCATCCAGGAACAGTACATTTTATTTTCATCTTTATTTGAAACTAAGTTGATTTCCCATACAAACTTTCATCCCCATTTTCACCTCCTTAAGGGATTATTTCCGGGATAAAAAGTATCCCATGTCCTTTCCAGGGTTTCAAACTATCTTTTTACCAAATTCCATCTAAATCGGTTCAGTAGATCCAGAGATAACACCCTACACGTCACAAACTCACAAACTTCACCTCTTTATAATATTAGTATAGATAACTAGTTTTAGAATAATTGCCCGCTTTTGTCTAAACGGAAATAGAAAATATCTATGTCGGTATATTGTCTTTTGACCTCGGTAACCTCCCAAGGGTAAATGAATAGGTGGGTTAGTGTTAGGTTGTTTTTATTTAGTTTAATGAAGTCATCCTGTTGAATATTTAATGTTATATTATAAAATAAATATACATTTATACTTATATTATAAAGGTACAGAGTTTGTTTGTTTAAACGCGCTTATCTTAGGAACTACTAATCCGATTAGAAAAATTCTTTTTGCGTTAGAGATAGCTCGTTTATTGAGGAAGGCTATATGTTATATATCATCATGCTACTACCCAAGGGAGCGGAGCAGTACTCGTAAATGTTAAAAAATTGGGCAGACTTCCCTACATTATTGTAAAGGTAAGGGAAAGACGAGGTTTTTGTACTTTGAACGCGGGCGAAGCCGCGGGTTCTGCTAGTACATTTATAAAATGCTAATGATTTTTGTTTATCTCGCCAGATGCTTAAGTGATAATAGGGTTTTTATACTCATTATAAAGTGCAAATTATTTTTATCATTGCAGAATTTTTAGAATTTTAATGATATAAATAAATGCGAACCAGTGGAGTGAATACAATTGAAATAAAAACACTATCTATACGAATATTATAAGAGGTAAAGTTTGTGAGGTAGTAGGGGTAATCTCTGAATTTACTTGACCGATTTAGATGAAATTTGGTAAGAAGATAGTTTGAAACCTTGGGAAGGACATAGGATACTTTTTATCCGGGAAATTATCCCTTAAGGGAGTGAAAATGGGGATAAAAGATTGTATTGGGAAGCAACCTAGGGACGAGCCCGAGCGAAGTGAGGGTGTGTCGCTAGTGTGCATAATATGTATATAGATACTAGCGACTAACCATCGCTTCGCTCGGGTTCGTCTCTAGGTACGTTTTATTTTTGTTGAGCGGAACCCTAAATCTTTTTCGAAAATAAAATGATTTTTTTCTGAAAATGTATTAAAATTATACCTTCACGCTTAGATATACATAGTCTTGCGGGGTAAGACATATTATACTCTCATATTCTTCCAATTTGCACACTCGTCGGGGATTCACACATTTGATCTATCCTTCTCTACTAAAAATACTTGGTTCGGTTTAAAGATATTTATTTCTATAAAAAAAGACATTGCCACTTACATGGAAACATAAATTTGGTTGTGATAGGTGTCGATCGTAAAGTTGTATACTCAGATTAGGTATAAATAAATAAATATGTTGGGACATATTCACACAGCACCATCTAGTTCCATGGTAAGCTATGAGGCTTGTGTTATGGATACTAGATAGTTGATACTATACATATGTAACTTTAAATACATACATATTATAAATATAAACACCCATGACTGGAGTACAAACATTCATGCTCATCACACAAATGATGCCCCTAGCGGGATTTGATCCCGCGACAGTTGGCACAGCAAGTAGGGTCACTACAAACTGAGCCAAACGTGTCGTCAGAATTTTTATAGACAATAATTGTCAGTGATATGTGGTTTTATAAGTATGACGAGACCTTCTGTTACTTCGGCATTGTATTATTTTTAAATTAGTAGGTATACAAAATACAAATTTAATTATTCATTCTAAGGAAACCTCGATGTTCAAGTTACACTCGCACTTGTACGATTTCTTATATGCAATCAAATATTGCTAAAATATATTTATATAAATACAATTATTTATAAAACCGTGGGATTACGTTAATTAATTAAGTATCAAGCTGCTCAATCAATGAAGGTCGAACGGTTTTGTCTTGCTCGTTGATAATACGATGATGTGTTAGTAATTAAAATTAATCTAAATATTTTTACCCTAATACGGAGTTATGGGAATACCTCTAAGAGATTAGATTAGATCGTCTTAAAAGTAACTTTCAGCAATTATATACATATGTTAATAAAATTTGCATGACGTGATATGCTGCACCACGGTAATGTTATATGTAACACTAGCGACTCACCTCGCTTCGTTCGGGTTCGTCCTTAGCTTGATTCCCCATAATAACTTTCATCCCCATTTTTACTCCCTCAAGGGATGATTTCCGGGATAAAAAGTATCCTATGTCCTTCCCAGAGTTTCAAACTATATTCTTACTAAATTTCGTCTAAATTGGTTCAGTAGATCCAGAGATTACCCCTACAACGTCACAAACTCATAAACTTTACCTCTTTATAATATTAATATAGATTACCTTGGCTGTACTATCGCTTATTTAAAATCATCATCTCGTCAAGGACTTTTGAGCATTATAAGGAGCATTAAGTTTAATCCTGTCAGACATATCTTTTCTAATACAATCGTATTATTTATGATACGTAGATAAATATTCAGAACTGCAGATACTATTTTATAGTTATGTTACAAATATACGAAGTTATTGCAGATGTAACGTACAGCGAATCGACATTTACATCTTAAAAGTACCTAATCTTTGTTTGTGATTTTCAGTATGTATAGGTATGTCGTTATTCAGTCTTGTTGTATGTATTTAGAACGTGAGTAACTACTACCATGTACTTAAGTGCGCTTGTTACAAACGAATTCTCATCCAGTCGAATTTTTGGATGCAAAAAGTATATAATAATGGATTTACATATTTATAATAATTTTATTATTTTATAATATATTTAAAAAAATATATAAAACAAATTGAATAAATTTATTTATCATACTGCAGAGGAAACTGATCCATTCACTATATTTCCCGGATGCTCTATCCCTACTTGTAAACGACTTCTATTATTTTTATGCTAATATGTTGTGTGTTCATAAAACAATTGTTTCTTCTTTGCAAATAAAATAATATGTACCTAATAGTATTTTTATATGAATCTGTTTTTAATATCCATGTTGTAAATTTTTCCTTTGTCGTATTCATGAAATTTAACACCATCAGGTAAATTTCTAAGAAATTAATTAAAAATCTATTGTTAACTGACACGCCAGCGTGTCCGCGGTCGTGTAAGGAATAATCTATAACACACTTGATTAAAATAATCTTGTAACTTTATTGAAAACTAGCGACTGATCCTCGCTTTGATCGGGTACGTATTAACGGTTAGTATGGAAGAGATAGACTATAATATATTATAATAGTATAATGTCCTTCCCAGGGTCTCAAATTAGATAGCTTATACGAAATTTCATCTAAATCGGTTCAGCGGATTTTTAGTTTATCCATTTAATGGATACCTAATAGGTACAAACAAACACACAAGAAAAAAAACTTTATTTTTCTCCTTATAATATTAGTATAGATGTAATATTTTTATCTAAAATAAAAATATTTAATCTATATTTGTTAGATTTTATTATTATTAAATTTAATTGTATTCATATATATAAAAACTAATTACTATGGATTATTTATCTGAAATAAATACTTATTATTATTATTATATTTATACTACAAATATTGATAAAATGAATTTAATCATTTTAATGCTTTTATTTTACCGGCTTATCCTTCTTTGGTGCAAGTTAGGATCGACATACTATTTTACATCTTAGAAATAGTTTACAAGGCGCGTGACTTAGGCTTCGGCATAAAAATATAGCAAAAAGTTACTATGTGACACACGAGATGTACTCGTAGTTAAGAGCGCAGCACTAAAATCGCCTAAATTTCATATTTGACCTTAAAAAATATTTTATATATAACTAGCGAGTAGCGACTCACCCCCGCTTCGTTCGGGTTTGTCCCTAGGTTGATTCCTCATACAAACTTTCATCCCCCATTTTCACCCCTTAAGGGATGATTGCCGGGATAAAAACTGTCCTATGTGCTTCCTAGGGTCTCAATATTTGGTAAGAACCAAATTTCATCTAAATCGGTTCAGTAGTTTCGGAGCCTATTCAGTACAAACAAACAAAAAATCAAATCTTTTCTCTTTATAATATTATTGATATTATAAAGATATAGATGTACATAGCAAAAAAAATGTTAATTTAATTCTATTTACATATTAAAAAACATTTTTAATTCTGTAGCCATTGTCAAAAAAAACATGTACTGAAATATTATGATAAATTAATATCTACAAATAGAACGTACCTAATCGTAAACAACGTCTGAATCTTATTCACCTTTGCGTGAACTTTTCTGTGGCCTAAATTAGATTTTATGATTCATAGAGGACGAGACCGATCAAGATGACAGCGGGCGTCTTCGATGTGAGACATTCGATATTGAGAGGGTTCTGGAACATGGGGCTCATCTCATGGGCTCTGAAGGACACGAGTATGACATGGATGAAGAAGCCTTGTCTGCTTTAGGTGGGTTTTACATCAGAAAACAGACTATCCTTGAGTCTAAAAAGCGTAAAATAAGCCGACAAGTTTTATTAACAATTATATAACAATCTCGATTCGCTCGGTTGCGTTCCTAGTTACCCTAGTCCCTTAATTCTTTTTGAGCGGAAACCCAATTCATTTTCTAAAATAAAAGTGGTCTAAGGTGCTCCTTATAACATCAGCTATTTACTAGTAAAAGTCCCGTCAAAATCAGTTCAGCCGTTTCGGAGATTAGCCTTAACAAACAGACAGACAATTATTTTTTTAAAAGTACCATATAAAACTTCATATGTATTTAGTAAAAACTAAAAAGCTGCTATTTTGATATTACAAACAGACATATATAGTATCTGTATAGATAAGTTTAATATAGTCAGTCGTCTGTCTGGTCTATTGCTTAAAATGTTTCCAATATTATCTTTCACTATATCGTAATTGAGTAAAAGACTTGTGGCTAAGTGCGTTCTAAGAGCCGTGCGGTCAATAGGTTTTGCTAACGGAAGACTTCATTTATTAAGTAGGTACTCTATAAAATCTTAATAAAGTCCTTAGATAGATTGTATCATAACTGGGCTTGTTTTAGTTATTTTTAAAAGCGTTGTTTTGAAAGTGTTCCTTTTTTTCGCAGTATAAATAAAAACATACTTTTTTTTTTAATTCTTATTCTATTTTTCTAAATCATCAAAAAATCTTTCGTACCTATCTAGATATTAAAGAGCGTTTGGCGAAGCAGCGTCAGCAATTAAACGCGAGGCTTGGACTCGATGTGGCTTCGTCTCTAGGTATTGACTTGAGTGGCGTCTACACCAACGAGGATTTATGTCCGGCCAAGATTGTTGCGAAGCCAGAAGTTACAAGGGTACGGGATACATTTAGTTATCTTTGCTAATTTCCTTTTTGTTTTATGTATTGTTAAAAATAAAAAAATAGTTTTATTTATTGTTAAAAAACTAAACATGTTCATATGTGAATTAAGCACTGTTTATGAAAAAAAGTAACGTTTAGTATAATATGTTATTATTATAGTATATTTTTATGTATATTTTTATTTTTTCTCGAAATATATAATTTCGGTGTTATGAATCTCACAGGCTTACGCCAAGTGAGAATTATCATTAGTTATTGGGAATCATCTTGCAGAAACTTTCGGTCTAAGCGACTTGTGTTCAGAATGGTGGCTTTTTGCATACTTATGAAAGTGAATTATGTAGACTTAGGTGATAAATCTATAACGCGGACAGAATGTAGCAAATACTTTGGCATAACGCCTTTACTGGAAAGCACCAACGGTACATATTATTATTGTTATAATAATTATATCGCTTATTTTAATAAAAAAATGATTACAGCGTCCAGTACAAGAAATAGTCATATGTAAAGGACTGAGTTCGCGCGAGATGAACCTGGCTAAGAGACGCGCACGCGCCGCTTTCAGCAAGCAGAAGTCGCGCGACTGTGACGACTCTCCCTCCACTCCCCTCACTCCTACCAGTTCTTCTCCCCAGTCTCCCCTTGAACCAGAAAGAAAGAAGATAAAGATAGAGCCAGTTGATGAATCTCCGTGTGAGTTTTTATATATGTTAAGTGTATTTAATTAGAAATATATTAATACTTACAGGCTTATTAATGTTAGGTCATACAAATAATTGATTTATTTACAAATAGCCGCTAAGAGGTGTTTGTCGCCATATAGTAAAATATGATTAATAATGCTAAAATTATTAATCATATTCAACTAAATATATTATTAATATAATAAATAAAATAATATCTTAAATTGTCTCCATGCAAAGAAAATATTGAATGAAAGCTATCATTTTTTTTAACTTCTAAATGTTTAAATAATAATGTCTCTTGTCTAATTTCAAAATCGTTACTGAATATTGAACTCATATATGTTATTTGAATGCAATGAAAAAGTTATTTCACAAATGACCAATTTTAACGGAGTGGGAGTTTGGCTTGACTTTTGTAGGTTTGCAAGCAGTTGACTTGTAGCCATTTCGAATTCCGATCGTGTCGGTTTTGTGCAGCGGCAAATGCTTCTTGTGGTGCATCCGCAAGCTTATAACGCTCGTTAACTTTTTATGTTTGTGGTAAATGGCAAGTGTGTGACCCGGCCTAATGTATAAATATGTTGAATAAAATATTTTAAATAAAACTTTTATTTCGATTTTTGGGTTCCGACGTTTCGAATGCTTTACAGTAATCATGGTCACGGGAGAGACTCATATGGTTGCTGTAAAGCATTAGAAATATCGGTAACCAAAAATCAAAATAAATATGCGAAAAAATACTCAAATATTAATTTAAAAATGTGAAATATTCGCGTAAAAAGAATGTATTGAATGGTGTCCGGCAGTGGAGGCGGGGTGCGCGCCGCGGCGCGACGGGTCGTGGGGCGAGGGCGCGCGCTGGCCGCTGGAGGGCTGGTGCGGCGCGTTGCAGGCGCAGCTTTTCAGCGCCGCGTGGGAGGCGCGCCACGGCGCCGCCGGCGCGCTGCGCGAGCTGCTGCGCGCGCGCGTGGCCGCCGCCGCCGGCTGCCGCGCTGGCATGACGCCCGCGCAGGTACGGTGTAGTGTGGCTAGCATGTACGCCCGCAGATCCGGAGGTTCTGGGTTCGAGTTCTAGGACGGGTCGGTTCGGTTATTGAGTGTTTACGCGCTGCACTATGATATCTCATGCGCTATTCTCTCTGGCTATAGTTGACCATGGTTGGCTTTATTAATATAAATGTGAAAATTTGTATGTGTGTGTGTTTTGTTACTCCTTCATTCTGAAGCGATTGGATAGATTTGGATGTAATTTAGTACATAGACAGTCTCATCCTTATTTAAATAATTTTTAATTGTATGTCTATATGATATGTATTTTTATTGCTTTGCCGTACGTCGAGTTAATAGGTTCTTGTATTGTCGCGCAGCTAGATCGACATCTATACATATAATAAAATTGTAACAAAGTGGAATCTGTACATTAAATATTTTTTTTAAATCTTATTGAATTAGACATTATTATCGATACAGACGCCGAATCTATAGTTTTTACAATTTTAAAAACGTAAATAGGGACGAACCCAAGTATAATGGAATTATTTAAATATACTTAAAATTTTAATTCACTACAGATGGAAGACGCTCATCAAGATTGGCTAGAAGACATGGCGTTGAGATTGCTTTGCGTACTGGCTCTAGATAGATTTGGCGATTTCGTGTCAGATCAGGTATGTGGTAAAAAAATTTTTTACATATAAAATATGTACGAGTCCATAATTGAGTTCAACTTTCACATTTGTAATGATAGAACTTTGTAATTTTGCGCATAATAAAAAACGATAAATTAATTTACATGTAATTATTGTTAAAGAAAGGAAAATTAAAATAAATATTGAAAATTAAAACTGCAATATCATATCTTTTGAATAAATAACACTTGACACGAGACCAACTCGCACTTTTTTATTTGTTCCACTTTAGAGTTTTGTACTTTGATCGCGCCAACTTCAAGTTCAAACTTTAAATATATTATATTATTGCGTGCGTGTCTTTTGTTATATACCTATGTATATGTATGTACAAAACATATGTTGGGAAGTTGGTGGTGTACCATTTCTGCGCCTTGGAGAACACGATAAACTGTGGTCGATACTGTGTCCTACCGGAGTTTGAGAGTGAACTTACGTTTGGCGCTGTACTCGCGGATTTCGCACCTTTGCATCGTAGACGATACGCCAGTTGAGCGGTCAAACTATAGCCACGAATGCAGGTTACATTATTATAGTACACAAGTGTGTGCGTAAAATGCACTTGTTTTACTTTCAAACTCCGATGGGACGGTACTTAGACGCGACCGGTGACAGTTAAAGCATAGGCTTTACATACTTTTTTCATTTTGGCGTACTTAAACTATTACTATAGGCACTTTTCTAGTAATATTATATGTATTCTACATTGGTCAACATAAAAATCCAGATACACAATCCCATGCAAAAGTTCTATTTAAACTGTCACCAATTGCATTTAGGTAATTGTATTCAGCCCTTTTTAACGTCCCACTGCTGGGCACGGGCCTCCCTTCAGTACGAGGGAGATCAGGCCATAGTCCACCACGCTGGCCAAGTGCGGGTTGGTGGACTTCACATGTCTTTCGAAAACTTGCTAGGTTCTCTCAGACATGCAGGTTACCTCACGATGTTTTCCTTCAGTTCTAGTTGAAATAAATATATAACAATGTAAATTGAACCTTAAATGCAATGCTAAAATTGTTTTCACAATTTTTTTATTAAAATGCGCTTAAATGTTCAAATGGGCGCTCATTCAATGAGGACAATTTTTTGTCGCTGATTGTGTATTTAGCATTTTTTTGATGGATAGTATTCCATTACTAATATCTAGTAATATTATATTATGTATACTATAAGTGATATATGACATATGGGGATAAGACCACAGTCCACCACGCTGGCCGAGTGCGGGTAATATTATATGATTGTGTGTTGCAGGTGGTGGCGCCGGTGCGCGAGACGTGCGCGCAGACGCTGGGCGTGGCGCTGGCGCAGCTGCGCGCGGCGCGCGTGCGCCACGTGGCGGCGCGTGTGGCCGCGCTGGCGCGCCAGCCGCAGTGGGAGGCGCGCCACGGGGCGCTGCTCGCCTTCAAGTATCTGCTCGCGGCGAGGCAGGTGTGTAGGGCCTATGCGCACAACGTTTCATGAACTCGACAATTCAAAATATGACAATATTAATGAATAAAAATTGTTGTACAATATATACATACATATATTGTTCAACAATTTTTATATATATATATATGGTATATAAAAATTTAAAAAAAAAATGGTTTTCTGTAAAGTCTGCTTACGGACGATAATTTTACGTGATAACGTCATAAGAAAACATTGATGAAAATTGCATACTTTTACGAATTGTATTGAATAATTATTATCACTGAATTATTATTATTTTGTATAATACAAAGAAGAAGTTAATTGAAAACTAATTTTTTTTCGATAAATTAAGGTTTAATATATAATATTTTTTGCTTAAATTATATAAATTAATTAGAAGTAACAATGTGCTATTAACAACTTTAGGCCGAACGTGCCTCTTTATCGCTTGTTGCGTGCTCTCTCTTGCACGCTCGTCTCAGGCGAAACGTAACACTTTTTCGTGCGTGCAGCGGGCGTTCATCGATTTATAAGATGTTATCACGTCAAAGATGAAACAAATCACCAGGAGCTGGCAATAGAATGCGGAGCGCTGGAGTTCCTGACGGCGGGTCTGGAGGACGGCGCGGAGGACGTGTCGGGCGCGGCGGCGGGCGCGCTGGCGCCGGCGGCGGGCGCGCTGGCGGCGGCGCGGCCCGAGCGCCTGGCGCGGCTGGCGGCGCGCCTGTGGCAGCTGCTGCACGAGCAGGACGACCTGGCCGCGCCCGCGCACGCGTACATGGCGCTGCTCGCCAAGCTCATGGCTCTACCCGCTGCCGCTAATATGTTACAGTATGTGTTTGTTACCACAAACATTAAACATGTTCATCTATATATCTGTACAGATAAATAAAATTGATTTGTATGTTTGTAATGTAAAATAACTGCTTTTTACTAAATGCATATGTAATTATAAAGAACAAAACAATTTTTATTTGTTTTGTCTGTTTGTACCGGCTAATCTACGAAACGGCTGGACTGATTTTCACAGAAGTTTCACTGGCAGATAACTGATGTTATAAGTAGTAACTTAGCCTAAGTTATACTTATAACTTTTATTTTAGATAAAAGAATTTGGGTTCCACGCATAAAAATTAAACGCATGAAATTGTGACTGAAATCCCCGTACAGGGACGCACCCGAGTGAAGCGAACGTTCAAACGAACAAGTTCAAACGGTTTTGTGTTTTTGGGATTTTCAATGAATGTCCGTCCGTTAATCTCAAGCTATATGGCACAAAGCAAAAGCCAAATAGCATAAAAAACTTAAGCTCATTTTGCTTTTTAATCCTTACAATTAAAATAAATTAACTCCTAGCATATTATGCATATTCGTGTATTATTTGTTAACATAAATTACAAATAATTATTATCTTTGTATATTTTTACAGTCCAATAGACCTGGCAGATGTGCTGCCGCGACTGTGGCCATACCTCGACCACTCCACCAGTTCAGTGAGAAAGGCGACGTTACAAACCCTTCGCACTATAACGCGACCATTAATCACATCTCCAACACCAAATGGTCAAACAAATGGAGATAATGATCACAAAACTGAAAATAGCAATGAAAATGAAAATAGCGATAAAGAAAATACAGATAGTGAAAAAAGTAAAAATGCAAATGATAATAAAAATGAAATTGTGAATGGAGAAATGGAACAGTTCCTAAATTGGACTCCAGAATTACTTCAGGAAGCCATGAGGCATATATATCAGAGGGTACTCTTTGAACATGTGCACGACATTCAGGAGATTGCTGTACAGGTAATTTTTTTTTATATCTCAAATTATGTGTAATAAAATTCTTTCTAGCCAAATTATTTATTAAATAATTTTAAATTGCTTCATTAAATATGAGAAGGTATCTCTAAAGTAAGTGATGCTATTTGAACATGAAAATGGTTTGTTTTGATAGTTGTATTCATTTACAAATTACTTTAGAACGACACAGATAAAATATGAGTGCCATAGAGTAGCCGTGCACACTATTACGTTCATTCTAATCACATCATAATCCCATGAGACAACTCTACACGCCTGCTGAGAGATCAAATGCGGGAACGCAACAGCTTAGCATGCTCTATGTATTAAAGGGGTGTAATTCCACCATTCCGTCAAATTTGAGCTGCAATTTGTATTTAAAGAAACCTATATTTTTTTTGGCTATACTCCGGCCTTAAATTCAGGTCCTCAGTATATGCAACGATACAAGGTAAACACTGAGCAACAAGACAGCTATGTATTGTGATCGCAATTCGGCTAGGATGATAAAATTAATATGTAGGGATCATAAGTTTGATGTACAAAAAAAAACAAATTCACTTGAAATGTAACTTTAAAAAACCTATAAGTGACTTTATAGCGATAGAGCATTGATAGCTAGTAAACCTCTCTGATAACAATCACTGGCGTGTAAACTGCCACCTACCACCAACATCCAACCAAACAATAGTACCTATGTGTGCAAGCTGGTATATATAGAATGGTTATGGTATTCCATACCATCCATACTGTATTTATTGTAGTCGCGATAACATAACTTATTTTTTTTTAATGCATTTGTCACATAAGAATCCAAACACTAGTGTTTTTTTTAATATTGTGCCTTTTTTAATATTATTTGCCAGGTGTGGCACAACCTGGTGCGTCACGCGGCACTGGGCACGATCCTGGTGGCGGCGTGCCCGCTGCTAGCGCTGTGGCTGTGCCTCGCCATGCAGCCGCCGCGCCTGCCGCTCGACCCTGCGCTGCTGCTGCACGCGCCGCACAAGGTACCGTGCTGTACTGTCTGTGCAGGGAGATAAACAAACGTCCAAACTTACATATATTATATTGACTTTTAAGTCATATTTACACACAAATATTGGTAGCAAACATACAAATAAAGCAGTGGTAGCCCAGTGGTAACGCGCTCGTTTGGAAAACCAAGTGATGTGGGTCTAGTCCCGGGTCTCGCACCTCTGATATTTACATGTGGGAATCATTTTTAACATGATTACTTGTCTATCAGTGAAGAAAAAAACATTATGAGGAAACCTACATGTCTAACCTAGCAAGTTTTCGAAAGATATGTTAAGTCCGCTAACACGCACTTAGCCAGCGTGATCGATTATGACGTGATCCCCCTCGTACGAAAAAAGCCGCGGACAGAGTATATTTTATTTTTGTATTGTTGAAGGTTAGTTATTATACAAGAGACTTATTTATTTACCTTTCACTCGAGTGCATCTCGCACCCAGCCGTTTCAGCATTAAGGAGAATAAAACATACACACATATCAAGGTCAAGACCAATAATAGCTATTGTATATCAATATCTGTTTGACAGGAGCGTCGAACCCGTGCAATAAGCGGTAGCGGCGACCCCGCCGCCGCCGACGTGCCCGCGGCCGACGGGGAAGTGCGTCCGGGGCAGAAGTGGTTCCTGGGCGGCGGCGAGAGCCAGCCCGCCGCGCTAAGAGACGCCAACGTCACGCGCGCGAGGTGCCTCGCTTCTGATATGTTAGGTTAGTTGTACCATGATCATTGAGAATTTGCATGTTTTGTTTTTTTTTAAAGCTTACTGAAAATTGTTAAGATTTTTTTTAATAATTGATTTTTCATGTAACTTTACAATTAAAGTGGTTTTTTTTTAATATAAATTCAAACGCCAGTGACGTCATTATATCGCTTTAGTAACGCCACCGCATGGCAAAATGATAAAACACATGTTTACGTTGTCAAAATCAAAAGAGTTGTCATTGCATATTAAAGGTTATTTATCTAATTTTGCTATGACACATGGTGATCCGAATATAGAAAATACAAAAGTATAGTATGATTGCGACCGGCTCACAGCCTTAATGGATATAATGACGTCACAATCAATCACAAGTCGTTTGATTATGTTCAAAAATTTAACAATTTTTTATTAATAATTATTAAAAAAATGGAATTCTTAATAACAAAAAAAAATATTTAAATATATTTTAAATTTATTATTTTTTAATTTGTATATAAATTTGTGGCAAAAAAAATGAATGCAACTTCTCTATTGAGAAGGAAGGTTAGTTCCTATAAATATCGATAGATGATGTTGTATGTGCTTGTTAGTTTATTTTTTGCTCTCTAAAACCTTTATAATAAAAAAGTCGGATACTTTTCAATTCAGGAACATGAGTTCAATTTTCATAATTGTTTTTTAATGAATACAACCATGAAAAAAATGTCACACATAAATTGAGCTATTGCTGTATAATTCCATATTATTCAAAACTTTTTTAATTTTGAAGTTTTTATTTTTGATGTGAAACATCTAATGGCGCGCTTTGGCAGTAAAATTGGCTCGTGGTGTGACGGCAAACAGCGGCGTGGCGCTCTTCTACGCCACCAACAACTCCCTTGTGCGTGCGCGCGTATACTTTACACGCGACATTGTAAAACAGTCTCTATTAAAAATAAAAAAAAATTATTATATATATATATATATATATATATATATATATATATATATATATAAATTTTGTAATTATTATTATAATTAAAATAATAAGAAAAATAAATTGATTTTATTAACGAAAAGCATTTTTTTCTTTATTTTATTCTATATTTTTTATAGGTTTTTATTACTTATGAATTCTAATATAAAAACAGATGTATGATGTATGATTCACATCTGCCGGGCGTCACGCGATGGCCAATTTTTTGAAGTTATACTTCTTTTGGAACATTTGGAAAAAATTATGAGAGAAAAAATTACCTTGCGCGCGTACACCGACAGCCAAAAATTATGAATGATGACATGATGAAGTTAGCTGCATTCCTTTTACAAACAGAGAATTGTGACATACGGGATGAAATCTTTAGCTATTTTTGTTCTGTTACATGCGTACATAAGTACATACACACGTTTTTATTAATAAGCTAAGTGTCATGAAAATTTAGTAGTCTTATTTCATATTAATACCTTGCAGGTTATCTGTCATGCTATCTAGTCCAGCCTGCACCTGGCATTGAGTATAAAGCTCTAGATGAGAGTCCCATCGATTGTTATGTCAAGGTAATATACCTAAATTATTATTATACTAGTTGTTTTACAACAAATTCTCTTAGTAAAACTTTGTGAACATGTGACATGCTTACTGCACTTTTCGATCGCAAGTTTGATTTCCGTAAATGACATGTAATTATTATAGCCCTTCAGAAATTAAATTTTATTTTTTATTATTTGAGTAATATAATCTAGTATGAAATACAGTGTTTATTCAAAACAAAAAGTAAAACTGCTATAGTTAAAATGTAATATTTTTTTTCTTTACTATAATGAAATCCGTTAGTTATTTTTGCTTATTAACAAACAAGTATACAAATTGTTATATGTGTACTATTTTATAATTTAGTTCTATGATACTTTTTCTATATCATTCCCAAACTGAGGTAAATAATTAAATAGCTTACATTAAACTAGCAGTACCCGCGACTTAGCCCGCGTTCAAACTTCCGATATAAACATCAGTTTTACAATAATGTATGTCACTGCTCCGCTCCCTTGGGTAGTAGTCCGTTCCTCAGTTAACTGGCTATCTAATGCAAAAAGATGTTTTCAAATCAGATTAGTAATTCCTGAGATTAGCGCGTTGAAACAAACAAACAAACTCTATCTCTTTATAATATTAGTATAGATAAAATTTTATTAATGTTGTATATTCATCAGGTGATGGTCGCCTACCTGCGGTCGGGCAGCGCGCTGCAGCGGCTGGTGGCGAGCCTCGTGATCTCGTCGTGGGCGCGCCACACGGTCGAGCACGCCCTCTTCCCGCCCAGCATTCACGCTAATGGAGTTGAGGTTTGACACTTCGTATTAATATAAATAAATATGTATCTACATATATTTATAGGATTTTATTGATATAATAAGCAACGTTACTGCTACAGTGGGTACAAAGCAGGTTCTTTGCTTTGAATTAAAGAAAGTCTTTGTCATTATTATCCGTATATTTTATGCACCGTTGAAAAATGGTTTCCTGTATTGCAGGTGATTTGTCTAATAAACCAAACAGACACTTTATATATAATTGCAATTTGCATTGGTTGTTACCGTTCACAAATCTGTTCCGGGATACTGACAAAAAGTAAAAGAAAATAATAAGTGAAACGAAGCTCGCCTTATTATAATTATATTATAAGCTTTATATTAATTGAAAATAATTATTAATTTTCTTTATCTCGCATCAGGAAGGTGATAAGCCTGAGAAACAGAATGATATATCGAAGCTGGCGCCGCCATTGTTGATAACGACTCTTCATACAGCACTCAACCAAAGCCTCTATTACGATGAGGTCGCACTCAATTGTAATAGGTAAGCAACAACTAACTAGTAAAGAATACATATGTATATGATACTAATGACAGATATGTATGTATGTATGTATGTACCTTGAGGACCACTAGTGTAACGCCGAGAAGATAAATTCAGAAGCTTTGTTAAATTAACTTTATCCGGTGTAAAGTTACTCCACAACATATAGTCTTAATTATTTGACAAATTCCATCTAAATCTGTTCAACAGATTACGCGTGTTTAAGGAACCAATATTATCAATACAGATGGAATACATTAGTACAGATAGGATTAAACTAACTTATTAAATTTTGTACAAAATATATTATTTAATTTATGTATGTAGGTTTTGCGAGACTGTAAGTATAAGTGAAAAGATATTTTTAGAGTAAAAGAGACGTATGTAAAAAATAAAATGATTGAACAGTAAAACGGAATGAAAGATGTATAAAAAACAGAACAATTTTTTTCCATAATGGCGGCACGACGATACGCGTAAACATTGTTTTCTGTAATTTTAATGGAATAAATAGTCGGGAGTGTTATTATATAATTTTAATTGCATTCTCGGATCCTACATATATGTTACACATCAATCTATATTTATATGCTATGTGATGTTTCAGAATACTACAAGAGGCGCGAGATCTGTTGGCTATGATGAAGCACTACAAACTGCCAGTGGAGAATGAAGAGTTCAATAATATACTGAGGCTAGAACAGGTACACTCATTGTGTGAATTTCAAATAGAATATCACTTGATAAAAATAAAATCGCTCTATTATATAATTATTTATTACTTAAAGATAAGTTTTATTAAATAACTAGCGACTTACCCTTGCTTCGCTCGAATAGGTAAAAGGAGTGCCGAGGTTTTAATTTTTTAGGAACGGATAAAAGACAAACGTCCAAAGTTTTCTTTTTTTTTTTTTGCACCAGGAACTTTAGCAGGTATATAAAGAATAACTTACCAGAGTTTCATCACAATCGGATCGATGGTTTAGGAAAGCATAGAGAACATTCGTTTTTATTTATATAGAAGACTAGTAACTTACAATCGCTTTGTTCGGGTACATCCTTAGATGCCTAACAGTAGCCTATATGTTAGTCCAGGTAATCCAATCTGTGTAATAAAATTCATCCAGGTCCGTCCAGCCGTTTGAACGTGAATTGGTAACAAACATACGCACACACAAACAAACGTTCGCATTTACAATAAGAACCGGGCGTCTATACTTACACCAACAAGTGGCAAAAACCTGAATTTATTGGGATGACTTTTCAATAATGTCAACGTCAAGAAAAATGTTGTTTTTTATTTTAGTTACACGAAGTATTTTTAAAGTAAATATTTCATATACACCATAATTTTCACATCATAAATATTTAGCACACTCTTTTTTGATACAACTTTTGCGGTTAAGTGTCACTTTAATTACTTTTTTTCTACCACACCATAGGCATGGTTAGGCTTGAATAATTGTTCACCTTTCTCACTATTCTGACCATGTACAATATTACTGTTAACCGGTTGAAATCCATATTGTGTTTATTTTTTTTTAATTTTTATAGATACTCTGAGTTTACAAATAAATGTTTTGATCCTACTATCTTCGGGAATAAAACACTAGATGCTCTATAGTGCTGCCCACGGCCCCCATAGTAGTCCAATAAGATAGCAGTTACGTGTATTGTACAGTTAACTGATGGGCAGGTTCACATAATACTTTCTTAGATTTACGCGAATATTTGACATTATAATAAAACCATCTTTTCGGATTATTTTCGCGGATTTATTTTGATTTTTGGTTCCCGACCTTTCGAATGCTTTACAGCGCACATGGTCACGGGAGAGACTAAGGTTATAGACGTCTCAAAGGCGTTATATACTTGTTACAGACAGTGCCTACCCACTATTTTACAAAAATGGTTTATTTAAAATGTTGGCCAGGTGTCGGCGATGACGACGGTGACGCAGCCGCTGGTGGCGGCGCTGAAGAACAAGCGCGCACAGACTTCGCTCGAGGAGCGCCGCGCCGCGCTGCACGCCGCTGTGGCCGCGTGCGCGCAGGAGCAGGCCACGCTCAACGTCTCGTTAGTACACCAATGAGCGATTTCATAATAGGAGTTATATAGTCGAATTTTTGAATGTTTGTATGTATGTGAATTTGTTTGTAAGTCGGTCGTTTTCTCGAAATTGAAGTTTAAAAAATTAATTATAATATGATGGGTGTGCGGGGTGGGGTGGTACCGGCGTCAGAAATTTTCTGACAGAAAAAATCTTATAATATACGGCTGACCTAAAACTTTCTAAACATTGTCGATATAGGTAATATTTAAAAAAAAGTGTGCTTTCAAAATAATAACATTTACTAAAATTATATTGCTGCGATATTTCTAATAAAATTTAATTGATAATAAACTGTTTGTTTGATTTTACAGCGTACAAGCAGCTCTCAGCGGTGCAGTAGCTCACCTGGCGGCGTTGCCGGAGCGCCTCAACCCCGTGGTGCGGCCGTTGATGGACAGTGTGAAAAAGGAGTGGTCGGAGGAGTTGCAGCGCGGCTCCGCGCGCACGCTGGCGGCGCTGCTGGCGCAGCTGGTGCGCCGCGAGTCCTGCCCCAATAATAAAGTGCTCGTTAACCTCAAAGCTTTCCTTAGGTATGATTTGTTTTATTTGTTACTAGCGACTCACCCTCGTTTAGCTTGGTTTCGTCCCTAGCTTGCTTCCCAATACAAACTTTCATCCTCATTTTCACTCCCCTCAAGGGATGATTTCCGGGATTAAAGTACGCTATGTCATTCCCAGGGTCTCAAACTATCTTCTTACCAAATTTCGTCTAAATCGGTTCAGTAGATCCAGACATTACCCCCTAGAACCTCACAAACTAACAAACTTTACCTGTTTATAATATTAGTATAGATGTTAAATGAAACTTCTTTAGAATCGTCGTGTTTTAAACTCGATGAAATGAAAGTGCGACTCTAAAAAGAGAAAAACACATAATTAAGATATATATATATATATATATATATATATATATATATATATATATACTAATTTCACACAAATGTGTCATTTCACTCTCCAACTCACACAAAAAATCACGCTAATCTGTCTTTCTGTTTTGACGTGAAAGAAAGACAAACAAACACACTTTCACATGTATAATATTAGTATGGATTTAATAATAAATATATTTCAGATGTGACCCAGAGTTCACGCCGCGTGTATCACTCGAGAGCGCGGAGGACAACGACTCCGGCAGCGGCGACAGCGGTGGTGAGGGCCGGCTGGAGGTGCACACTCCGCAGGGGCCGACGTGTAAGTGGTTTACATATTACTGTTATTTACATTTTTTCTTCTTGTTTATTAATTACTAGCGACTCACCCTCGCCTGGCTCGGATTCGTCCCTAGCGTGCTTCCCAATACAAATTTTCATCCCCATTTTCACCCCTCTAAGGGATGATTTCCGAGATACAAAGTATCCTATGTCCTTCCCAGGGTCTCAAACTATCTTCTTACCAAGTTTCATCTAAATCGGTTCAGTAGATTCAGAGATTACCCCATACAACGTCACAAACTTTACCTCTTTATAACATTAGTATAGACTAGCGACTCACGCTCGATTCGCTTCGGGTTCGTCTCTAGACAGAAACAAATCTATCCCACGGAAACTACATTTTTTCGGGATAAAAGTAAACTATGTGCTATTCCAAACTATAATCTATCTCTGCGCCAAATTTCGTCCAGATCCGTTCAGCCGTTCTGCTCTGAAAGAGTAACAAACATCCATCCAGCCATCCTCACAAACTTTCACGTTTATAATATTAGTATGGATCCTTGTCTTAAATCCTTACATGAGTTCAGCTAAACGTTTTTTCTTTTGCCTTCCTTCCTTTCACTGTCCCTACTACTACATCCATTTACATTCATACTTAAACTTACCTTTATAAACTAATTCCACGCGATAAGTTCGATTATGTATTAGTTAATTATCGTCGTTATAATTTGATTTCCTATTTTATTTATATATTTTGTTTTTTATGTTACTATTATATTTATTAAATAATATTTATCATTTTTATAGCCAAAAATATAGAATTTTAAATATAATTCAATTAATTGTTAGAGAAAATATAAATTATTAAAAAGATTACATCTTGCATTTAATTTTGAAAGTTATAAGAAATTAAAAGTTCACTTATTTATTTTTTATATTTATTATTATTAATTTCATAATATATCACTTATAAGTAAAGACATTAACTGAAGCCTCTACTCTATACATTTCCAGTAACGAAATACAACGGTATCGTAACGCTGCGCGAGCAACACCGCAGCGCGGAGCGCGTGGTGCCGCGCCGCGGCCGCCCGCCGTCCGCGCCGGCCGCGCACGCCGCGCACGCCGCGCACGCCGACATCGCGCTCGAGCACCTGCTGCCCAAAGAGGATGAGGTAGATGCATTGACCACACGTTTTGTTCAGTTTGTAGTAACCCTACTTGCTGTGCCAGCGGTCGCGGGTTCGAGTCCCGCTGGGGGCGTTCATTTGTGTGATGAGCATGAATTTTTATACTCCAGTCATGGGTGTGTATATCTATAATATAGTATATATTTACAGTAATACATGTGTAGTGTATCAACTATCTGGTATCCATAAAATAAGCCTCGTAGTTACCATGGAACTAGATGGAGCTGTGTGTTGATGTCACAACATAATTAATTTTTTTTACATCAATTTAATTTTATTCACATTTTATATGAGGATTTCAAAGAAAAAATTTTCTATTAAAATATATTTCAATTGGCTCAAATCTTTCATTCAGTTTCAAATAAATTTCTATTAATATTCCTTTTTTTATTTAGGCCCATAAACTTCTAAGGATCCAAAGACGAGGAGCCACAATGGCTTTGACTAACTTAACAGAATACTTTGGAGATGAGCTTCCTGAAAAATTACCAAAGCTGTGGGAATTTATTACACAACCTTTTGAAAAAGTCTTGACTGATAGCGGTGAGTAAGTTTTTTCCAATAAAACTTAAATATTTTAAATAAAACTATCTTTTCGAAATATTCGCGGATTTATTTTGATTTTTGGTTCCCGAAGTTTCGAATGGTAACTAAGATTGTAACAAATATTATTATTCTATTTAACATTTGATTTTAACATTTATATTTGATTGTAACAAATATTGTACAGATTTAGATGATATAGAAGACGAAGCCGGTGAAGAACTGATCTCCCGTCTCCAAGTGGTCGAGGCGGTGGCGGGGCACGTGTGCCAGGCGCTGTGGCCGCGGATCGCTGAGGGGGCGAAGCCCTGCGTCGCCCTGACCAGAGCGAAGCAGACGGCGCTCAGGCATATGGCGGCGCGCGCGCTAGCCGCCATGGCTGCGCGGGACCCGCATGCTGTGATGCAGACTATTATTACTGAGGTTAATGTTATTCATTATTATTGACTGAATTGTTAAAAATGGAGCTTATTTATTTTGCTAAATGTTGGATGCTATTCCATACATTATAAAGTTCTTTTTATGTAGGATTTTAATGTAGCAGAATAGGTATCATAAGATATAAAGAAACGTGTATACTATGAATATTACTACCATAGTGTCATTAACTGCAATATATCATCTAATAGTACTAAACTTTTAATGATTTTAAGATAATGTTAGTTAACAGTATTTTTGTCACTGATGTACTTTATGACATTATGTTAATGTTGAATAAGTGACTGATATTTAAATAAATATAAATAGAAATATATGTATGTATAATCGTACTGCTAATTGCATCAGACATACAGCGGGAGCGATTTTATTTTATACTATGTAGTGATATATGAAAACAGGTAATCGAGGCGCTGTCAGACTTGCGCAGCGACCGCGTGCGCTGCGGCGCGGCGGAGACGCTGGCGCGCACCGTGGACGCCTTGCAGCTGCAGCTCGTGCCCTACATTGCGTTACTCGTTGTGCCCTTGTTAGGTAATACATATGATATACATAATCTATATAATAAAAATTAAATGCTATTCATTGATAAATGTGCCACTTGAAAATAGATGGATTTATTTGACTTATTTTGTCTGAATAATAAATACTGTTATTTAGCCTAGATCAGGAGTTTAAACTTATTTTTTTCTATACAATAAACAATGTACAGAGAAAAGATCCTATCATCGTCTCAAAAATTCAATTCTCTTGTTAATGGCTTCAAAGTGTGCCAGTTCAGTACATATTACTTCGCTAACGTCACGTAGAATGGAGAAGACATGAAGGAGATTGGTCGATAAAATAACTAATAAGATTATTTAACCGGTCAATAAAAAATGTATATAAATATTAATGTATTTTTTTATCGTCCAGGCCGTATGAGCGATCATAACGAAGCGGTACGGATGATGTCGACACGCTGCTTCGCCACGCTCATACAACTCATGCCGTTGGACGGCGCCATCCCCGAGCCAGAAGGTCTCTCCCAAGAACTACGTGAGAGGAGGCAAAAGGATAAACATTTCTTGGAACAACTGTTTAACCCGAAATCTATCAAAGACTATAAAATACCAATACCCGTGACCGCTGAGCTCAGGAGTTATCAACAGGTAAACTTTTTTTCAATGTTATGTTTATACTTTATACATTAGGGGATTTTAAAAAAATATACATTATGTTTAGTTATTATTTGGATGTTGGAAATGTATCAGTTTTTGTTTTTTTACGCATTAAACAATTAATAAATATCCTTGTTTTAGCAACTCTTTAAAAAATTATATGTGCTAAAAAAGCAGTACTGACTTCTTAGTGTCGCTTGAGAATCGGAAGTAAAATGAACTTGTAACCTTTAAATTGTCATGTGCGGATTTAATATCTAAATAAGATCAAAGAAAACATCGTGAGGAAACCCCTACATGTCTAAAAGAATCTAAGTTTTGAAAGACTTATGAAGTCAGCTAATCCATATTTAGCGAGTATAACGGATGGCTTAATTCTCGTCACATTGAGATTAGGCTCCTTCTTGCCCAGCTGTGGGATATTCATAAGATATGAATTGTTATTATTTGACTATTATTATATATTAGCGATTAGCTCACCGTCGTTTCGCTCGGATTCGTCCCTAGGTTGATTCCCCATACAAAATTTCATCATTGACAATGAGATTTAGTTCACCATTTATGACCTGGAGTAATATAGGCTAATAACTGTTACTAATAAGTTCCGTTTTCCCCTCGAGGCGGGCGTAAACTGGCTGCGGTTCCTCAACGAGTACAAGCTGCACGGCGTGCTGTGCGACGACATGGGGCTGGGCAAGACGCTGCAGTCCATCGTGGTGGTGGCGGGGTCGCACTGCGAGCGCGCGCGCGACCGCCGCCCGCACATGCCGTCGCTGGTCGTGTGCCCGCCCACGCTCACTGGTCGGTACCGAGGCTTCATTTATAAGATATTTCTCCTCAGTAACAAGGATCCTATATGTTGACCTGGACAACCAGCTATCAAATTTCATCAAAATCCCTCCAGCGGGTTTTCCGTGATGCGGTCACAGACAGACTGACTAAAAGACTAAAATTCTAAAACCTATAGATTTAGTCTCTGTATCGATAATAATGTCTATTACAATAAGATTTTCCAAAAAAATATTTAATGTACAGTTTCAACTTAGTTACAATTTTATTATATGTATAAGATGGTGCCTATCGAACAAAATAGGTGCAAGCAGAATGAAAGGGTAACAACGTTCTAAATAGCTTTGAATTAGTATAATAATCAACTTAAATACATACATGTGTATTTTTGTCTTACCTTTTGCGGCAATCGTGTTATTCAAAATCAAATTAATCAAAACAAGCATGCATTACCATGCTTCAATAAATTGTTACTCAAACAAGTGATGAATTAAAATTTGAAAAACCCCCGACCACCTTGGACCGATTTTTATCAAACATAGCTAAGAACACTCCCGACTAATTCACCTTTCAAACAAAAAAAAAACACAAAATCAGAATCGGTTCATTCGTTCGGGAGCTACGATGCCACAAACAAACACAGCCACGTCAAACTTGTAAAACCCCGTTGTTTTTGCGTCGGGGGTTAAAAATATTATTTAAAAATGTATTTTTTTAATAATATAGAAAGTTATTGATTTTTTAACAATCGAGGAAATCATATAGAAATACATATGTTTATTAAAAGTATGCCTTTAATAATATTAAGCATTTTTATTCCAGGTCACTGGGTGTTTGAAGTGAACAAATTTATTCCAACCAAATATCTAAAACCAATGCAATATGTGGGACCTCCAGTGGAAAGGGAGAGATTGCGGTCTCATGTTAACTTCTACAACCTCATCGTCGCCTCGTACGATATCGTTAGGAAAGATATCGAGTTCTTCAGTAGTATTAAATGGAACTATTGCATATTGGACGAAGGCCACGTCATCAAAAATGGGAAGACCAAAGCATTCAAGGCTATTAAACAACTAGTCGCTAACCACAGATTGATATTGTCAGGAACGCCTATTCAGGTATTTGACACAATAATTATTTTTTAATTTTTTAAGTGTAGTAATTATCATGTGCTTGTTAATTTTTGTTTGTAAATATTGTAATTGTAAACAAAAGTGCTTTATGTTTAGCTAGTTTATATTTGCCTTATTATATTTATATGTGAAGTCCGCCAACCCGCTCTAGATCGTTAAAAAGGGATGAATACATTATATTTGCTTAAATGATAGTTTTCTTCACAAAATAATAATAAGCTTTATAAATCAATTACTACTATACAATTTTCATACAGTGCTCACCAATAGTACTTTTACTATCGGAGAACTGTATGATTATTTTAGAACGTTATAGGCTATTTTGATATTGGAAATAATCAATTCCTTTCATTTTTCAAAACATCCGTAGTAAATGCGAAAAACATTCTATTTTTTATGTGTGTGTTCAGAACAACGTGCTGGAGCTGTGGTCGCTGTTCGACTTCCTGATGCCAGGTCTGCTGGGCACGGAGCGGCAGTTCACGGCGCGCTACTCGCGGCCCATCCTGGCGGCGCGCGACCCCCGCGCCTCGCCGCACCACCTGCAGGCCGGCGCGCTCGCATGCGAGGCGCTGCATCGGCAGGTAGGGGGGGTGGCTTGTTTTTTTTTATAGTCCTCCTGACTGATTCCGGCCACGGCGGCCAATCTCATTGAGACTAGCCAACTGCGCAGGAGATATTATAGTTCACAAGTGTACGCGCAGACACAACGTGCACTCTCTATTCCTGTCACTCATACTCCGGTGGGACGACTGCTCCACACGACCAGTGAGAATTAAGGCGCAGAACCGACGCGACACGTTGTCTCCGAGGCACGGGGGTGAAACACCGCCAACTTCCCAACTCCGGGCTTTTACTGAGGCTTACAATACAGTAAGATTCAATAACTAAACTTGGCCCGACCCGGGACTCGAACCCAGGACCTCCGGGTGTGCAGCCGTACATGCTAGCTACTACACCAACAAGACAGTTGGTTTTTTTTTATAGAATTACAGGGGCAAAGGGCTACGGTCGCTCATAGACATGTGCAACATAAGAGGAATTGCAAATGCGTTGCCGCTTAGGAGTCCTGAAGACGCGACTCTTTAAGAGCCTATATAGCGCTCAGGAACCACCTTAGGAGGAAGATCGTTTCACAATTTGCTTATTATTTGTTTATGGGATTAGTAGAATAGTGGTATAGGCTTTTTTTCTATACTAGATTTATTCACTAACACTAAATTTAAAAAAAAAAACAAATAAATACTATTGTAATTATTTACATTGATATATTTTAAAATATCTAGTTTTCTAATTCAAAATAATGATATATCAGGTTCTTCCGTTCCTCCTGCGGCGCGTGAAGGAAGACGTGTTGCGCGAGCTCCCTCCCAAGATAACGCAAGACTACTACTGCGAACTAAGCCCACTGCAGCGGCGTCTCTACGAGCACTTCTCGCGTGAACATTTGCCTCAAGATATATCGGCTCATACACATGTGTTCCAGGTATTATTATATATTTTTTTATACAGATAGTCTATACAAATAAATAAAATAGAAGTGCCTGTTTGTAATCTCAATATACCAGCTTTTTGCTAAATGCATATGGAATTATATACAATACTTATAAGAACAAAACAATTATAAAAAAAAATCTTTCTGCATGTCTGTTAAGGCTAATTCTTTTCTGACAGATAGTTGATGTTATAAAGAGTAACTTAGGCAACTTTTATTTTAAAAGAAAGAATAGGGAATATGCGTTTTTTACACATTAGGGTACATTTTAGTTTATATACTTATAAAAAAAATATCCAGCTCCACAAAACTAAAATTTAGTTATAAAATAAAATTTTGAAAATATCATACCCAAATACATACTTTAAACGCCCAGCCATTTCACGCGCTTGGCGTGACGTCACAGAAAAATGACGCAATTTGTTAAGTGTTAACGTCAAAATCGAAATGAAATTTTTTTCTTTAATTAAAAAATTCAAAAGCAATATAGATTAAAAAAAAATAAAAAAAAAAACTCATCAAGTTGTGAACAAAATTAGCATACCCGGAGTAAGTTGCTAAAATGAAAAATAAATTTAAAGTGCAAATGAATAGATAATATAGTAGTATATAGTTTATACGAAAGTTTTGATTAGTTTATTTGTCTTATGCAAACTAATGTAATAAAATTCCTGCCAATACATATTTAGTACACATTATTATTATTTATCCTAATATCAAATAAATTTGTTTGTTTGCAGGCACTGCACTATCTCCAGAATGTGTGTAATCATCCTAAACTAGTGCTAGTTCCGGAGCACCCGGAGGCGACGCGGGTGGCGCGCCAGCTTGCGCAACAGGGCTCCACACTGGATGACATAGAACATGGCGCTAAATTACCTGCATTGAAGTAAGATTTTGTTACATTTATTACCAAACTAGTGGCTTACATATCAGCTATCGCTGGGGCTGTGCTCTTAGGCGTGTGTGAATTTATAATATTCCTAAACCCGCTTCCCATGATCTTCATTATAAAATAACACTTTATTTTCTAAAATGATAAATAATAAATATAACATATTGTGGGGTAGTACGAGTATATTGATTTGTGTAGATGTTACAAGTATATTTTTGTTGCCATAAACCAAACTGTGGAGTATACATATTTTATACTAATTTAAATACTTTGTAGTGTAACAGTCCTTAAATTTAAACTATAAAACTTTTAATGTATTACTTAATTTCAATAATATATATTATATAATGTCGTTAATACTTAAATTAACAATATTAAATTTATTTTTCAGACAACTTCTATTGGACTGTGGCATAGGCACGTCGGCAACGGTGGGGGAATCTGGCGCGGTTGTTTCCCAGCATCGGGTTCTCATTTTCTGCCAATTGAAGAAAATGTTGGATATTGTGGAGAAAGATCTATTGCAAAAGCACTTACCGTCCGTTACGTACTTGCGTTTGGATGGAAGCGTGCCGCCTCATCAGAGACACTCGATCGTAACAAGATTCAACACAGACGTGTCTATTGATGTCTTACTACTTACTACTGCTGTAAGTATGAACATATTTTTTTCTTAATATAACAGTCGGCTCATCCATCTATACTAATATTATAAAGAGGTAAAGTTTGTGAGATTGTGAGTTTGTTACGTTGTAGGGGGCAATCTCTCTAGATCTACTGAACAAATTTAGATGAAATTTGGTAAAAAGATAGTTTGAGACTCTGAGAAGGACTTAGGATACTTAGGATACTTTTCATCACGGAAATCATCCCTTAAGGGGGTGAAAATGGAGATGAAACTTTGTATGGGGAATCAAGCTAGGGATGAACCCGAGCAAAGCTAGGGTGAGTCGCTAGTAGTCTATAAAAGGCGTTACATATAGTTTAACTGTACACCACTAAGTGTAGTGGTTAGCACGTACAGCTGCACGTCCGGAGGTCCTGGGTTTGAGTCCCGGATCAGGTCAAATTTAGTTATAAACTTGCAATTGTCTTTCTGTTAAGGGATTCTCAGTAACAGCCCGAAGTTGGTATGGTGGTGGTGTTTCACCTGCGTGCCTCGGGAAGATTTTGACATTTTGTACATGACGCTAATGTAGCAAATACAAATGATTTTTGTAATACGTTTTTAAAATTAAAAGTAGTTTTTTGTAAGAGTAATCAATAGTTTATATATTAATAACATTTATTTATATTTCAAGGTGGGTGGCCTTGGCTTAAATCTAACGGGTGCCGACACGGTCATCTTTGTCGAGCACGACTGGAATCCCATGAAGGACCTGCAGGCGATGGACCGCGCGCACCGCATCGGTCAGAAGCGAGTGGTCAACGTGTACCGCCTCATCACGAGGGACACGCTCGAGGAGAAGATTATGGGGTGAGCACACTTGCAATATTTATGTTGTTGAAATTAATTTGCTACTTGCGAATTTCTAATATTTCACCGTGTGCTCTTTTAAAATTAACTGCCTGTTTTTAAGTTATAATTAACTAATATCGTATTACCATAATTTTCAGATTACAAAAGTTCAAGCTAATGACAGCAAATACGGTAATTAGCAGTGAGAATGCATCAATGGAGACAATGGGCACCGATCAATTACTAGACTTGTTCCAGTTGTCCAGCACACCAGGGCCCTCCACCTCGCAGGCCTCTGCCCCGGGGGCGAAGTCCATCATAGAAACCCTACCAGACCTTTGGGACGATAAACAATATGAAGAGGAATATGATATGACCAACTTTGTCAAGTGCCTAAAGAAAATGAAAGCCTGACCAGAACCTTCACTTCATATGAAGAAAATCAAAATGAAGCAAAAACAGTTGCTTCAGCAACAGAAAAAGAAAAAAGACTCATAAAATGCAACAACACGCAATTTAATTACTTTTATGCGCTTTATGACACTTGGAATTAAAAAATTTATGTTAGAAATTTCTCTAAGACAAATCCATAAAATATGTAGTAAATGGAACTTATTAAGAACGTATTGGATTCATTCAATTATTATTAATTCAATCAGAGATAAGGACTTTGATTCCTAAACAGGGAAAAGATTTTAAATTGTTATGTTTGTCTTGATAAAGAATGTGTTTTGCTTGATAATGAATTTCCTCCTGATCGATTTCGGTTAGGGCGGCCAACTTCACAGAGACTAGCCATTTGTTGCCATTCACTGTTAAAGTGTGATGGAACGACAATTTTATATGACTGGTGACAAATCACGGGCTAACTCCCCAACTTCGGGCTGTTACTGAGACTTTCTTGATAGAGAAACGCAATATCTATATTATGTTAAGTATTAGGCTTTTGGACACTTTTCTTATCCTGGCGCCTTTCCTTTCTCTTTGCGCCCCGCTTGGCCACCAGGTTCCACCCCTCTGCGTTGGAAGGAGCAGGTGGAGGCGGCTCAACCTCCTTTGGAGCATCTGTCTGTGCTCTTTTAGGGGACGTCTTCTTGCTCTTCTTTTTGCGCCCCTTCATTCCAGAATTAGCGGGAGCCATAAGTGTAGTGGCAGGTACTCCCGACTCACGAGCTGCATCTGCGGGCAACGGTGGTTGGACTCGTTGCTCTGGAAGTAGCCTAGCCTCCAAGCCCTCGAAATGGGCACTCACCATAGTACCCACTTGCCCCATTATGGAGCGCACCAATTCCTCGGCATTAAACGGCGCCGAACCGGACCTCTCCTGTTGCTCTTTAAGCAGCGCGAGCTCCCTCCTTAGCGCAGCTATGTCCGTGCTCGGCTCCACATTCGTAGGAGGCAGTTGCGGGAGTGGCGCTGTTCGTACTCGGTTCATCTCCGACCTCATCGCTGCCATCTCTTTCCTCAGGACATCCATCTCTATCTGAAGCCTGGTATTTTGGGCCCGGAGCTTTGTCACCTCCTCAGATGCTGTGCGTTGAGCGAGCACTTCCACGGCACCAGCGATTGTACTCGCCGCATCTTTTAGGGCCTTAACAAATCCACCCTTTAGATTGCCCGATTTTGTGGCAACCATCTGTATGACTTCCAGGCCACTTTTAACTTTCCCCTGGAGCTCCGTCACAAGATCTGTCTCCTGGCCCACTCCAGCCGTATTAGCGGACAAACTTGATCTAGCAGGTTGGCGTGGGCTCATTCTAGTCTTAAGTGCCGCCGCCCTGTCCATCACCTCCTTTTGGGCTTTGAGCCTGAGCTCCTCCTTCCTCGCTTCATTGAGGGCTCGTTGAGCTTCGGCCAACCCCACATACTGTCCAGTGGTTGGTGGACGACCTCTCGTGCGAGTGGTTGGTATTCTCGCATCGAGCCTTTTGTGCTCCTCTGGGGATCCAGACTGGCTCCGAGAACGTTGAGCAGCAGAAGCAGCAGCACCTTTAGTTAGCACGCCCTTCGCAATTCTTCCTTTAACTCCGTCCGTTACAGGCCTCTCCTTTACTCCGCCCTTCGCGGGCCCCGCAGTCACTCCGCCCATCTCAGGCTCACCGTCTTCTCCACCCTTCTCGGGCCCAACAACACCTCCGCCCTTCTCGGGCTCCTCCCCGACATCACTCAAGCAGTAGTTGCCCCCCCCCCAGAATTCAAGGGGCAGCACGCCGTAGCGTGAAGGGATTCCCGGTGGAATGTCACACCGGTACCCTCCTGGGGTAGTTTGTCTTTACTGGCTGCTTGCATGATGGATTTTTGCTGATCCACAGCTTCGGCTTTGTTTAGGGTGTGCTCCCCTAGGCCGTGGGGTTAACGAACCCCTAAAGGCACGGCCATGCCTGCTGGTTTTGGTCCGCGCCGGTTGAACCGGTACCACCAATGTGGTGGCATTCCCCTATCCGCCACCCGGGGGACGCGCCCAGTAGCAGTCCAGCAACTGCCCTGAGTTTACTAAGTAATAAGATTAAAATCTAAAAGTATTTACAAATCTGTTCACTCAACTCGCTCCGTAGATTACGAGTGCGGGGCGTGACTCCCTCAATCCGGGTATGTTATTAACATGTCTCTTAAGCCATGCCAATCGGTATTCCGACTTATCCGTAAACGGTGCGGTATACTCCATCACATTCCATCTGTCTGAACGACCGTAATTAAACACGGTGTTCCGAGAATTATGCCAAGTGTCTGGGACAGTAGTGTATCTTCCAAACGAGTAGACGCAATAAGGTCGTGTCGTTCCAATTTGATCTTTTCTAACTCTAAAGGATAGAATTAAAGATGCAAGTACTTGGCGTGCATCCAACTCGGCTGCAGTAACAACCTGGTTGTTCCGGCTTTCTGCGTAGAATACGTTCGGCGACGTCTCTTGTACGACTGGTTCAATACAGGTCCAACAGACTTGAGCAATTGCTCCCTCTGAATTTTTCTTGATCTGAGGAGTGATCTTTATCTTCTCTTCAGTCTTACTCAAAGCTAGGGACACCTTCTCAAACAAATCTGTGCTGTATTGGAACTTCGGAAACTTAGTTGGGAAAACATCTTCCATGATGTTTGCACTCTCCAGGAATGCATGCTGGTCTGACGTTAATGTAGCGGCTCTCGCCCACCCGAGACAATTACGAGTTGGGGTTCCAGCGCCTTCTTCGGCTGGTACTAATCTAGCTGGTAAGTTCCATTCTCGTACACCCGGTGTAACAGTTACACGTAAATCTTCCTGGATTCGTTGTTTACAGACGAGTGGACTGGGCATACTCATGTATTTCCAGTGCGTCGTCGGTCCAACTCTACCAAAATCACCCGTTTCATTCGGCCATACATGCATCTTCAGTTTATAGCGTACAGATGTACTGTCTACTACATGTCCAAGAGCCTTGATATAAGCTTCGATAGGTGCTGGTAATTGATGATTTCCAGATAAGACCTGACCGGCAAAAGAATCTTCATCATACGACGAATCTCCTTCTTCCTGTTTGACAGAAACAAGACGGGCATATAAACCCATAACGCAGTAATAAACCCATGCGGACTTGGGAACGCTCTTTGCAAAATACGGTTGCTGTGTAGCGATTATATCGTATTCTTTTTCACATAGAGGTATAAATCCCTCTGCTGTTACAGCGAATTTTGGACCATCAGGCATGCTATCCAATATACCAACTAAATATAGCCAACCTTAACCTGTTAAAGGCATAGTAAAATTCATGTTGAAAACGTGATTACACATTTAACGATTAATGTTAAAACTTTCGATAAATAGACGTTGTAACTATTTTATAATATAAAAAAGCAGGTCTCGTTTCTCGTGTCAATTTCTTGCAAAATTATTTTTGAGGCAAGTCTTTTAAAATATTTTTTATAATTTTATGAATATCCGAAACTTTAAATAGGCATAAATTTAAGAAGTAAATTAGACGTATTTCACATTTGTAAAATTTAATGTTAATGTATTAAAAATGACTATACTTTCATAGTAAGGCTGATTCCTAAAAAGTCTCTAAAGATTTTATTCTTGATAATTAATGCATTTACATATTTATTTCGGCTTAATATTATTAGTAAAGATTTTGTAATGCTTATGTTACCTGAAATAACGGACAGAAATAAGAAAATTAGGCGTAATTTCAAAACTTTATTGTAGAGGCTGCTACTGTGATCCTAACAGTAGAAAATACAAATCTTGATGAAATAAAGGAGATGTTATATTTTCCATTTATTGTAGTCATTCAACTTCCATATTTATTTATTTATAATATGTATGTATTTAAAGTTATATATGTGTAGTGTATCAACTATCTGGTATCCATAACACAAGCCTTGTAGCTTACCATGGAACCAGATGGTGCTGTGTGTTAATGTCCCAATATATTTATTTATATGTATAACTTCCATATATTGTAGTCTTTGTTTAATTAATAAAACAGTTGTTGATAAGAAGAACTTATCCTTGTAGTGTTTGTTTTAAAATATTCCAGACTGGGAAGGAAAGATGAAAATAGTTTAATATACGAATTCTTAACTGATAAAAGTTACATATTCATTTTGAATTTTAAACCTCTTTATATTTTCAATTAATCCAGGGTCCATATAATTTGGAAATATCTCCTTAGAATTATAATGTTTTTATATGATATATCCTATTTGTTTATCTATATACATATACGCTTCTTCAGTCAATTACTATAATATTAAATTTATAAACAAATCCTTCATTAGGTTACGAAGATTCATGTAATATAATATTAAAATGTGTAAACCTTGATGTTATATCAGTAAGTGTTTTTTCTACGGTACTAATGTAATGTTTATCAAATAATTTAATAAAAATCTGTTCCAATAGAAATGTTTCATACCTTAGTAATATTACTATAGACATGAAAATGTATATAAATTTTACTTCTATCACTATGATATACTAGTTAACCGTACTTGTATTGTTAATTTAGTTTTATCCAATATGCTTTGAATTGATTTATAACATATTTGGTCATGTCACTTTTCCTGAAATGTATCTCGGTGTTTGATGGAATACTTTATTTACAGATAAAACAAATATTATTGGAGTCTAGAATGGTAATACGTGCTAATTTGTATGATTTGATACAATCATAAAATAATCTTTTGTACAACACAGTCCATCTAAATCCGATATGTTAAAATTTTTCATTTTCAATAATAAAAAAATGAGTTTTACATATATATATACCATTTCACTTTAAGTATTGCCAAATTATTAATAATAGTAAAATATTAAATTGAATAAAATTGCATGATCATTGTAGTATGTATCAACTGCAGTAAACATGTTATCTACAACAGATTCCAATTATTTCATAAATTAAATACCATAATGTAATTCATATTGTAGTCTTAATATTCTTATAAAGTTGTTTTTACAGTTCCTTTATAAGAAATACCTCAAAAGTTGTATCTTTCTACATTTAAAATGATTAATTTATATTTTAAGTAAGCTAAGATATAAAGTCACACCGCTTAGTCATTTTTATAGGTATATGGATGCAATAGATGTTTAATCAGTTATATTTTTGTTTGCTATTTAGTACCTGCTCAATACATACGACGAAATCATTTATGTATCACTATAATTTATTATTGAATAAAAAATGTTTATGGAAATTTTGCTCATTTCTAATTAATTTAAGATTAAAATCAATTTTTCAAACCAAATATGTATTAACAACACAGCCAAAGGAACAAAGTAAATGTAACAGATTTTAAAATCCAATAACTGGTGTATTGGATGTATAAAAAGTGACTTCATTTTCTAACTGTAATGGCTTTCTTATTTTGTTAAAATATTGGGCATTGGCTTTTTGTTTTATAAATAATGTAACCTCAAGTTTTGTTTCTCTTATTAATATGGATTAAATCTGAGGCATATATTATAAGTATATACTGTAACAGTACATTTAATTAAATTTTGAATGAATAAAATGTGTTTTATTATAAACTCCATTCCTGTTTTTTAAATTTGTAGAATTCCACTCAATTCCAAGTCATTTGCAGCGTCGAATTTTAGGATTCTGGCGCCACTGGCGTACAATTTATAGAAAACGTGAACAAGAAACAAGAAAAAGCAACTTAATCTATCGATGTCATTTTAAGTAAAGTTTTAGTTACTGGATAATCTTTAAGAAGCATCAACATTTTTAGCAAATTAACTAATTTTTAGCAATTAGCAAAAAAATTAATTTAGCAATTTCAATTAACATTTTTAGCAAAGCTGAAAACAACGCCATTAAAATTATACTATAATTTAGTTAATATCAGACGAAATAATTTTTGTTGGTTTAGTTTGTAATATATAAATAAGATATTTCTGTTTTAACGTCACATCTCGCAGCGGATCAAATCAACCATCGAGAAGAACAGAATTGTCAGTATTTTGAATAAACATTCTTTAAAATATAAACTAGTGAAAACAACATCAGTACATTATCTATACTAATATTATAAAGGGGAAAGATTTGTTTGTTTGTTTGCACCGAATAGGCTCAGAAACTATTGAACAGATTTAGATTAAATTTGGTAAGAAGATAGTTTGAGACCTTGGGATTGACATAGGATAGTTTTTTTATCTCGGAAATCATCTCATAAGGGGGTGACCATTTTCACCCATTTTCAGATGAAAGTATGCGAACGAACCCGAGCGAAGCGAGGGTGAGTCGCTAGTAAATAATAATGCCACTAGCTTTAAAAAAATAGACCAAATACTTCTTTATATTTTTGGAGGGTAGACAAAAGCAGATTCGCCTTTTAAGGGGATAAGTTAAAAAGTGTCCAGCAAGAATAGCGCTAGCGTAAACTGTATGATATGGAATTTGTGTCCAAATGGCACTCCTAAAAGCCACGAAACAAAAGTATGATATGAACTTAGTAGATAAGAACGTTATAGGCAGAGCGAAGTGTGTTGAGTTGAAAACCTTAATATTTTTGGTAAATAGAATAGTTCATTATAAATCATATCATTGTTTTTCTATGTTTATTTTAAAAACATACACTTATTCCACTTACTTTCCTGTAATAACTTAGTATTGTGCTCTGTGTAGACATGCGTAGGTCCGGATTGAAATAGTTCCCGGAACTATGTCCTAGGCCGGAACGATATCGTTCCAATCCGCGATGTCAATTGAAATTTGAAACAGGTTCACAGTTCCATATAGTTCCACATGTGCAGGAGTGAGATGGAGCGAGAAACGAATATATTGGACCGATCACCGGAGCGACTGACTGAACTGAACGTAACCGACTCCTGCCGAACCTACCCGAGCTATAGCTATATATTAAATTTTAAGGTGCTTCCTCACAAGCGTTAATTTTTTTTAGTAAACATCTATTAAGCCGCGTCCACATGCTGGGCGCTTACCACAAGCACCGAGAATCATAAACACGTGCCAAACACCGAACACAAACTAAATACATTAAATAAATAAATTGAATTAAAATAAAAAAGCCTTTCATTTCTTGCGCTTACTAAAATTGCTATTAAAACAATTTAAGAAAGTAAGTATTTATTAATTATTAATAAAATCCTTTCATATTCAGTTATATTATAATAATAGTATTTTAATGTTTATTAATTTAAACATTTTTCTTAATTTTTACAATACCTAATATGAATTAGAATTTATAATTAATAAAAATATTAACAATAAATAATTCAAAATTAAAATTAATGTATATAATAAAATAATTCATAAGTTAAACAATCATTTACAATATTTTTATTTATTTGAAGTAGTTTTTTTAAGTTTTTATTTTCCATTTTTAGTGTAGATATAGTAGATACCTAGTACCAAAGTAAGAAGAGGTCAAACAATAAAAAAATATATTTATACGTGTCGAATTGAGAACCTTCTCCTTTTTTTCGTGGGTTTAAAATTATTTCATGTTAAAAAATGTTAGGTATGAGATGTTATCTGCTGCACTGCTGTGTGGAAGCGCCATTATATCGCGTAGGTACTATGAGTAAACTACTGTAGTGACTAGTGCGTGTGCGAGTATTCGGAATATAATGTCATCTCTTACTATGCTATTACAATTAATAATGTGCCAACTTCACTGTGCCTTAAAGTCGATAATTCATTAATTAAATCTGATTTTCGTTTTGAACTTTTAAAACATTAATAATATATTTTTAAATTTAAATATTCTTTATTCACTTTTGACACAATATTTTGTACTTTGTTGCGTTCGTCTAGATTCACATTGCGCGCGAAAGCACCGTAGTTTTTTGAAGTTTGTTTAATTTTTTTTAAAACCTTTTTTATTTCGTAATTTTTAGTTTTAAGTAAAAACTGAAATAGTTTTTGTAAAAAGTAGTAATTACAAAAAATACATTTTTTTATCCATATCTTCAAAACCACTAAACCAATTTTGATGAAATGCTTACTATTCCCTAAGTTAAAATAATTGTAAGCAAATAAAAAAGCATCATCACGTCGGTCGGAACAGTAGTTTCAGCGAAATGCGTGGACAAACATACATACACACAAGCAAACAAACATACATACATACATACATATATACATCTATACACCTATAAAATTTTGTATATTTGCTTCGAAGCCTTAATATATCATATTATGATAATATCTTGCAGTTCTAATAATATTATATACA